TGTGGAAAGTTTCTTCATAATACCATTATTCATTATGTGCAATATCTTTGTTAATATCTTTGTTTTTATAGTTATTCATTTCCATCAATAATTCATCTATCATTATTCTTGATGGAAACAACTTTTTTACATAGCTTGTCAATATTTTTAGAAGTATGATAAAAACTTCATTGTAACTTGTAAATGTAGATCCATTCACATTTATCTGTTCCTTATAAGATTTTTAGATGATGTAGTTTACAACACTGTATATTTTTTTAACAGACTCGATATATCAATATTAATACTTGAATACTTAAACACCAGCTAGATGCTGTAGATATTTTGACTAATTTTACATCATTTTGTAATTTATAGCTTTGCCGTCAAAAAATTATTCGCAGAAACAGCAGGTTCATGATTTTATTTTAAATCGCCATGTGAAATAGCAGTGGCAATAATAAATGCTGGTATATAAAACAAAATTAATCTAAACTTCATTTTCTATTTTTAAATCTCATAAAGCGCTGATTTAACTGATTCAAGATAGACTTATTCTTAATCTACTGTCAACGTACCGATAGAGAATGTAAGAACATGCAAAAGCCAGTTAAAATTTCTGTAACGTATTTAATCATTAATACATTTCCAATTAATTGCAAGCATTTTTTAATTTTTGAGTAAACTTATGCTACTATTCTTCGGATTATCAATCATTATTTAACAGAGACTTATATTTCGTAGTTACAAAATGAACTTCTATAGAATGTAAAATAGATAATATTTTTATTTATATTTATTTTTTTTACACAATTTTGATACAAATTGTGAAGTTATAAGCGTTGAATTGATATAATTGATATATGTCTTTTTTATTTTCATAACATATGGAGAAAGTGTTGAAGAAATGTCTGAACATTTATTTTTCATAAATTAAATAGTTTGATTTCCATATTATGCAACCAAAATTTGAGAAGAATAACTAAGGTAATTCAAATACATGAATGCAAATTCTTTAACTATTGATGAATGCAGACTGCATCAAATATTTTGTTGAATAAAATGTTATTAAATTCAAATTATCGTTTACCAATACTAGCAAAGTTAAAATAAATTTCTTACATTTTTATAGTAATTACTAAAACATAATATACATTGTTAGCAAGATTTCCATCAGTTGCCGGTATGTTCCATTAAAATACCTGTAGCTTTCTTGACACCGGCAAATAATTAGTACACCAATAGACTGAAAATCAGCCATATTTGGAATAGGCATTTCAGTTTTATTTATGACTGCAACGATAATCAGTGCCATTGAATAAAAGAAAACAAAATTTCATTTGCATCTTTTTTGAAGTAAAAAACTATGGCTTCATTTTATACTGGAGACTGAAACTTGTTGAGATATTGCTTGCAACTTTAACGGCCACTGCACATCACTGCGAGAAAACGTTAAAATTCTTAAGTTTCTTCGAACGATCGGTTGGTGTTAACAGCGAGTTTGTATTCCATACGGTCATCAATTGACTTTATGCGAAGGAGATGGTTGTTGAACTATGTAAATTAATATTATAGAATGATGCCGTTATTACGAGTAAATTATACAACTTTCATTAATTTATTGATTATTTTACAGATAATTTTCATGACATTTAAATATAATGAGATAATATACATTATTTGAAATTTTTAATCATGAGACTCACTTAAATTTCATTACTAAATAAATAAAAATTGATAAATAAAATTTAATATCGAATATTTATTTATTTAATAATGCTGTGTAGTAAAGTATATAATTGTCACCTTGCTTACTACGTTATATTATTGTGAGATTCAAACAATTCTTCTACATTCTTGCCGTGTGAGTTTATAACCGTCCGGACAGCGCGGCAGCATATGTATTATTTTAGCTTGAGCATCGTCTCTTATGCTTTTACTTCTGTCCACAGCTATGGAAATAATCAGGACCAGGAAAAATAACAGAGCTGTACTGAACTTCATTTCGCCGAACTAAATCGTCAGAACAGAGCGCTTATTTCACCGATTAGAGTCCGCGATTCGACGTACTGTCTAACAATAAGACAGAATACAGGAATATTCAGGAATGGATCTAAATTTATGCGAATTGTGAATTCATAAATACGTCGTTGACCAATTGCAGCAGATTTACTTTTTCTGGTTTGATAGATGCGTCTCAATATGTATGATACCATCATTACATTGTTTACAACATCGCCTATACATTTATCGGGTGAAACTCAAAAGCTTTTATTAACAGCGATAAGTCATAGTAATCGCACGATTTTCCACATTTTCCTTTTTTCTATCTTCGATTATAAAAAGGACATTTTCGTTTGGTATAAGATCGACGAAAACTAGGATTAGCATAAGGAACAAAACTATACTGAACTTCATTTTGTTGCATTACATTTTAGGATAGAGCACTATGATTTCACATATTTGAGTTAAACTTACCTTACTTTGAATTTACTTTGAAATTCATTTTTTCTGAAGCAAAATGTCATCGTCTGATTAGCTTACCGAAGAAAAATAGAAGAATTGTAATCGCAAAAAATTGATCGATTACAATAAATTTGTACGTAATCAATCAGTCGTTTGTGATGCATTGATCATTCAACCGCTTAGAAACTGCGTATAGATATATTATGAAAAGTAAAGACCCAAAAACAATTTTTCGTATAAATCATCATAAACACAAGTTTTTACTAGGGACTGCAAGAAAAAAACAGCGTTATACGATCGTAAGCTAGCAGCGAAATTTTAATCAAGAATGAATGTCAATGTATTTTTATTTTGTAGAGGACATAAAAGCAGAAGCGCGCGCGTCAGCGAGATAATTTCGTTAAAAATCGCAAACTCTTTTTGACGCGCCCCTGCGAGTGATTCGCGCGCAGCCTATCATCACCAGCGGCACGCCGCGGAAGATAATACGGTCTCGATTAAAACGAAACGAAGATAAAAAAAGAAAACCTTAGACTGCCTTACAAAGCTGCGGGCACCGCGTACAACGTCTCTACGTCACGTTCGCGGAAAGGGGATCACGAGCAAGCAAAAAACACTCGGCTTTTCGCGTCGCCATTGAGAAATTCATCGGCAGCCCTTAGCAATAATTTGCACGTCTCGCAGTTTTGCAAAGCCTATATATTCCGTCAATTTTCTCTGCATAAGTGGCATCCTCGTCGTTGTTCCATTTCTTCAGACCGCAGGCCTCGCAGGGCAAACTTATCGTCACTTGGTCCGCACTAGTTTTTTTTTCTTTTACGGTCTAGTTTTTGCCCTAGCTCGCGAGTGACGGTTCGCCTCTGCCAAGGACGCCTTTCCGCTGAATCACTTTCGAACTCGACGAGTGTAAAAATAAACGGCAGACTATAGCTAACGAAACAGAATTTTGAATTTTTTCTCGTTTAACGCGATCAAGGAAAGAACGTTCGACGCTTGTTGCGCGAGACTTGCAGTATACAAACTGTTGATTAAGATGTGTTGCAAATTAAGAAAAAAAAAAAAAAAAACGAACGGTTCTGTGTAAATAGAAAGCATTTGAAAAATTTAACAAGTACGAAAACCAATCTCTAAGGTAAAATTCGTCAACAGTAGCAGATTACATATTTTAGTAGTATGTATACTATCGTCATCGTCGTTAATCGAATAAAAAAGAAAACCAAGAAATCGATGAAACATTGGCTATCTCGGCATCCCCGCGTCATAAAGGTCATAAAGCGCTCGACCGTGATTTTGCGCTGTACGAGCGCAAGTCGTTAACGAAAAAGTAAGCTCGTCGCGCATACCTTTTACGGCGCTGACGCGCGACGGGACGATCAAAGGAATCCTGCTGGCGTGATCGCGCATGTACCCGTGCAGGCGCGCTCTCAGTATTGTCGCACGCGTCGATCTCGAATAATTGTGGATGGAGACATGCACATTGCAGTGCCTCGCGCTCAAGATAAAGGCTGCATTGTTATGACGGAGCCGCTCGCCTGCGACGAGAGTACCTTTCATGTCCTCGGTGACAAATCTACGTTGCCTTATTGTTATTCGTGCCTCGATGTATTCGAACACATAGAAGGCGGCATTTTTGTTTGTTTCACTTCGATTGATTCGAACCTGTCACTCAGCGATCGCTCGGAAGCCACTTGCGCAATCGACGTGTGGAGATCGCGCGTAATATTCTTCGCTGTCGTGTATAACAGATGCTAGCGCGAAAAGTTGAGAAGAAAAATGGGTGGGAAATTTCATATGACGCCACGCTTGTATTTTCCTTGTGGGGTTTCCAAATTCAACCGCGAGAGGTTTTGTCATCGTGTCTTATCAGCGACTCTCGCCGGACGTCATTGAAAATCGACCGCGAAAGAGCAGCCGAGTGGGTTCGCCGTGCTCGCGCAACGACGAACGAGATCGCGGATGACTCACCGAGGAAACGAGACTGCGGTCGGGCGCAGGGGAAGAGCGAGAGCCCGCGTCGCCGTGAAAGCGATTATCCGCGGAATCCGCCGGCTGGCGCCGACGCACGCGCGCGCGCCCGCCGCCGGCGTTTCGCCTCGTTATAAACGCCGCGGCGATCCGTCGCGGCATCGCAGTCACGGCCTGCACGCAGGGCGCCGCGCGTAGGTCATGAGGAGGTGCGCGCGAATGGCGATCGTCGCGCTACTGGCGCTCCTGCTGGCGACAATCGACGCAGCTCCGAGGATCGGCGTCGACAGGGCCAGTCCGCCGCCCGCCTGTCCGCGGGACACGCGCTCGCTCGCAGGCATCTGCCGGAAAATCGTCTAGCTGGCTCCCTCGCCGTGTGCTACCGACAGTTCCCGCCTGCGCGAGCCATCGAGTTAACTCGTCGTCGTCTCGCGCGTCGACGAGCTTTGTAACGCGACATCGTATTGAAAAAATAAAGCACTATAAAAAAAAAAAAGTAAAAAAAAAAAGAAAGAAAGAAAAACAATTGCAACTTGTACTTTTTCACCGCGCGACTCGATGAGAATGAGCTTGATTAGGAAGAGGCTGACCTTGAGTTTCCAGGAGGGAATGGCATCGAAGGAGTCCCTGTCCGTCGCAGAGAAGGCCAGCACGCAGGCGTGCGCTCCCCGATAGTAAGCCGCGGTGATGGCGTCGAACTCCTCCTGCCCGGCCGTGTCCCAGAGCATCAGCCGCACCTCCTCGCCGTCGATTCTGCAAGCACGACGTTATGTTCTTGCTGTCACGAGAGGTATGCGCGTTGCCGCCATGGCCACTTTCCTAAAGCTGCCACGGGCGAATCGTCGCTACGAAATCTGTTGTGGCCATCTCGAATGAACGCGCAAAAAGACCACGATGGATGGCCAAGTCAACTTTCGAGCGAAATACTACGGTAATCTTATCTCGCAACCGTGTGATCCGACATCCCGACGACATCGCTCCGGACAAATTGCACGCGCTGCAGGTACATTTGAATTTCACGAGTTTCTCCGAACACGCACCTGGCGCTTAGCGAGCGGGGCGCTCGGTAAAAATGAACGTGGAGCCGTCGTCTGATCGGAACTGGGACGGAAGGAAAAGCCGCGTGAAACTCAAGAGCCGCGACGATATTATTGTCAACGAGGCGTCGTCGCCTCGTAAGGCCTCCATTGACGAGAATAAGAGGAAAAACGCTTAATCACACGCTTCTCGTTGTGCCGCGACACGCCGCTGCGAACGTTCAATTCGTGCGTCGAAATGTGCGAGTTGTCGTTCGACGCTAATGGCAACCAACCGCGCTGACTCGATCGAAGCCGGCTCGCCGAAAGGTGTCCACGTGAAAGCTGTAGACGCCGGTATTGCCGGACTACGGCCGACGGAATATAGGCCCGGCATCAAGGCGACCCGGTCGCCGAGCGAGGAGTCGCCGGCGCGCGTATAAAAGAAAATTAACGCGTTCCGCGAGCGTCGCGCTCCGCGGGCAGACGCGCACGCGACGGGGATGAGCGGCGGCGGCGGCGAATTTCCCTCGGCGCATACCTAACGGCGCTCCCGTACTCTGCCCCATCGTATTATGACAAAGTAACGACGCGCTCCGCTTGCCTTTTCTCTCCTTTCTCAGAGGAAGCGAGCGCGGCGCGCGCGCGTGTGCCGCGGATACTTTGCATCGAGCTGTGCGCGCAGGACTGTTTGTCGAGAATTGTAAGCTGCCGCTCGCGCACGCTTTCGCGCTGCTTATTCAGATTCGGTCTTTAGCTTGTAGATGACGTACGGCTTGAACAGTCTGGTCGCATTTACTCGGATGTTAGTGGGAAAGGTTGGCGTGTTTCTCTGATTTAGGGTTCCATTCGAAGGACGCGCACGTTCATTGAAATATACCAGCAAACGATTCGATGTAGTTTTCGCGCGACCGCGTCGCCCAATGCCGGCAAGGATACGTGAAATGTCGGCAAAGACGAGAATAAAAGCGTACGCAGAGCTATCACCTCCGACAATATGCAAAGAGAAAAATCCAATGAAAATTGCCGTCAGCCCGCTCGTTGAGCACATCGCCCGTGAACGCGCGCGATGGCGCGTATCTCCATACAAGCCGCTCGATCTCTCGACGCGATCCAGCGAAAGTGCGCGCGAAAGGGCAAACGACAAAATATGGCAATTCGCGTGCACGGCGTGTATGAAAGCCGGCGCGAGCAGTTCGATTTCTCAGTTGGCACGCGCTCCAGATTTATGCTCCGGCTTCGTTAACGTAATTGCTTATATTTTCTCGCGACAGCTCATGCTAATTGGAAAAGCGACGGCACCTCTTGCGCTCGTGGCTTTCGATTCGGTATTTTTCATCCCGGGCCCGCTTTGGTCAAGATCGCCGTGCCAGAGAGAGAGAGAGAGCAAGCTCGATCGGTCGCGCGCCTGCACGCCCCGTGGCCGCGTCGTACAGCCGGACAAAAGCGCGCCGCGAGAAATTGAGAGACGCGCGCGAAGCTGCAGATGTAGGTGGCGAGAAATTTTTTTCCAAAGGCGGTAACAAGTACTCTCCGATGATTTTTTACGCTGGAATGGCTTTTCATCAAGTTTTCGATCAACGATCGATAGCGCCGTTAAGTTTCGCAGCCGTTTGATGCCGCAGAAGCGTATCGAGTTTCACCGATGTAACTAGTTTGAAATGACTGAGAGTAGAGATGAGGAAAACGATCAAGCTTATATTTTTGCCGATAGAACATGTTTTCTTTAAAACCCCAACGCCACGTTCACCATTGGAGCGTAGCGCTTGCTGTTTATTTAGAATAAAACATTATTGTCATGAAGTTATAAATTCATTATTCTCAGCCAATGCCAAAATTTTTTACATAATTAATGTTAAGATGTCAACAAATAGTCTACTTTTCGGAGTAAAACATGTCTATTTATGCGTTACTTGCGGCGACGCGAGAAGTTTCTTAAGTTTCATTTATCATGTAGATTCAATCCCGTAAAACTGTAACACTTTCTCTCGTATAGTATCGCGCCTATTCACAGACGAACTCTGCGTAAGAATCGAGCGGAACGCAATTCTTTTGGACGCGAAGCGCATCCATCGAAAATAAAAGTGAAAATCCGATGCTTTCATCGGAGTCCGCATATCGCTCAAGCTCGTTCGCACGCATTGCGCGCAAGTCGAATCACTCGTCACCTCTGGCGCTCGCCACGAGGAGCGAGCCCACTACTCACTCGATCTCGCGCTCGAGAAAGTCCACGCCAATGGTCTTCTTGTAGTCGCGGGTATAGGTGCCCTTGCAGAACCTCTGGATCATGGAGGATTTGCCGACCGCGCCGTTGCCGACTATCACCACCTGCGACAAAGAAGGGAGCGCTTCTTATTAATCTCAATTCACAAATAAGATGCGCGGACCGGATTCCCGCCGGGGAAAACCGGTTTTTTCCTGTCGCCCGAGCGCGACTCGATGAAAATTTCTGCGCTCGCTGATTACAGAGAGATTACTCTGGTTTTATGGGCGAATTTACCGACGGCGACTTCCATCGAATGCGCGTAGTTGGCTCAAAACCGATGGCTATAAACATCCTAGATCGGAGCAAATGCCAGCTCGCTCGCCGCCTCACTACTTGCATCAATTTGGCTTTTTGTATTTCTTAATCAAATCAATGATTCGCGTGCCTAGTCCGTGCCTCGACTCAAGTTGTTGCGAAATAAGCCTAATTAGTTTCTTTGGAGCTCGAATTTTAATTTATCGAAAGTTATGCGAATACTTTGTACCTACTGCACCTTGAAACTTTCATTACGTGATGACGTCGAGGAAGAAATTCATTACGCGGAACAAAAATATATTTTAATTTATGCGTTAACTTTATAAAACATAATTAGCTTGTTATACGATCGTCGTTGTATTCGGCAATAACATTTTTTAACGAGTCGCGAAATTAAACGAGTAACTAGCAGAAGAAAAAAAAACAAACCGTTTATTTTCTGCTTTCTAGCGAGATTTCGAAGAAAAAGAAAGCACGAATCGCAATATTTCTTTACTACCATTCGGTCGTCGCTCCTCCTTTTACCTCTCGGTGTACCCATTCAAAAACGCACTCGCACTCGACCGACTTGGTTGCAGAACGATCGCGTCCGCGCGGCGCGCGCTGTTTCTGTTGACGACACTACGGCCGCCGAGAAGCATGCGAATCGGGTCATTTAGCGGCTTTTCCGCGCAGCTGACATCGCTTTTTCGTCAATTTTTCATTCGTGGAAATATCCCGTCCAATGATTGCGAGAAATACTCGAGCAAGCGCGCGATACATCCACGCGTAAATGATTTCCATTGAGATTCAAGATATCGGTATATTCTAATTGATCGCTTCCGTTCAGCACTCGTGTGTGGATATCGACGTGTTTTACGGACAACAAGAAAAAAAATAACGCTTGGTTATTTGTTTGTTTTTAGTCTCGTGTACTTGATTAGAATACATGGAAATTGAATTTACGCTTTAAGGTCATTGATCGATTATTTATGCCAAGTTGAGTAAAATTATTGCTTTAGTTTTATGGAATGACAGCGATTTTAATGCGATCGCTTTCGTTTGTTTTCACCAACAAGATCGTAGCTCGGTAAGAACTCATTTCTCAATTTTTTCTTCATGTTATTGATGAGTATATCACGCCCGTCCTCAAAAATTTAATATTTCAATAAATTAACGAACTTTTATACTGAATTTTATCATCGCCTGACAATAATAAATTCAATAAAACTTTAATTTGCTTATAAGGAGAAGAATTTCGAAAAGTCTATGGAAATCAAACACTAAAGGTACAGTGTCATTAACTTAATCAGACGATTGAGACATCATTTAACACTAAATTTAGATTCTTTGTGAGTACAATCAATTAGATGAAGTTCTTTTGAACTCACTTTAAACTTCAAAAACTATAATCAACACGATTAATTAAGGTACCAGATATTAACCACTTATAGTCTTATTTTTATTTCTTTTTTTGTGATAAGACTGAAAACACAAAGGTACTTGTTACCCGTACAATTTTCAAACATTAATAACTGGTATTATTTATTAAAGTGATAACGTTATCGGCTAGTTATTCTCACACGCATAGAAAAGCACATTTCTATAAAGAAACTGAGAAAATTTTCATAAAATGATTCTCTTACATATGAGAATTAATTGTGATAACGTAGCTACGGAGATTAGCCAACTTGGCCTCAACTAAACTGTGCGACATGCTTTCTTTTATTGTAGCAGTGACCTAATCCAATAAATAACTTCACGTATCCACGCACAATGCCATTTCAATAATAACCATACCGTCTCAAATATACGGGCTGTCTGAAAGATTTTCGACCTCAATCTGAAGTTGGTGGCACTTATCTTCATAAGTTAGAGTATACGTTCGCGCATGACATCGAAATTTCAGCTATTTTGGACGGCTAGATTTTCTTTAACAATCATGTAAGTGAGTCGTTGTGTGAAGATTTTTCTAAAAATGAAAAAAACTTAAGCACCAAGCTGTTGTTAAATACTTGTTTTTGAAAGGCAATATACGCCTACGGCGTCAATCGAAAGTGAGTTGGGCACTGTGTACAGGACTTTGCCCCATTATTTATGACCGTGAAATTTCGAAAACTGCGACAGCTAGCCGTAACATCGGAATACACACGCGAAGTATTTTCGATGCACAAAAGAAGAACAATAAGAAAGAAAAAAACATCACAACGAAAGGTAGAGAAGAAAGCCCGAATCTGTAAATCGATTGCACGTAGCATTAATAGCCGGCGCGCTTCGTCGCTCGAAAAGCCGAGGCAGGTAACGGTGCGCACGCGCGTGCGTCGCGCGCGAGTGTGTCAGCTATTGGATAAACCGGTCGCGCGAATAATCTATCGAGATTATTCCTTAAACGCGTCGAGAGTTCACTGATCCGAAGGCTAGAAATCAGGAAGATGCTGGATTTTATGGATATAAGTACTTTCATTGATTTGTTTTCATCTTTAATTCGTTTTGCATAACGACATTAATGAATGAGTATTCATCGCTGACAGTCTGTTTATGAGGTTGAATATTGCGAGCCGGAGCGATTTAATAATACAAGATCTGTTAACAATAATGCAATGGTAATCGTTTGCTGTTCTCCCTAGAACCTTTCCGCCTTGTTACTCAGTCGCCCTCGTAGTGTGGCGTAGGGCATTTCTTCTTCTTTTAATATCTCTATTTGGTCTTTTTGTTCTGCATATCTTCCCCTTGAACTTCTACGAAGCGCCATACTGTCGCATTCTAAAGCAGTCGTCTATTTGCTTCTGAAGCATATTCCTGGTGAGAAATCCCTATAGACAACCGGAGCACGCCAGCCCCCCATTTCTCGCACGGGAGCTCTGCACTCTGTGCGCACTAAGTCACTGTGGCTCTCCGGTACGCTAACGATAATTTATCGTCGTTAAGAATTGCACTTGGAATCGATTGATATGTATGGAAGAAAAGAAACCAACGAAATTCCCATGAACCATAAAGTGCCCACAGAGCCGTAATAATCTGTAGCAAACAACAAAGTCACCCTCGATAGCAATCGATATCTCCAGTTGGTCGTACGTAAGATCGTTGTCCACCCACTTTCCCGCCGTAGGCATCCTACATAGTTTTCGGGAAGTCGATCGAACCCGTCTCCTCAGCCAAAGAGCCAAAGGCGATAACGTCGACGAGGAGTATTCACCCGACCGTGCAGCCTTGAACTTTACCCCATTGAAATGTGGGTCGCTCGGAGATAACTCGTATAGAGCCAGTGCGGATCGGCTCTACGCATAGTTCGCTGATTTATGCATATCGCGGTCTTGGAAGTCTTTAATCGCGTGTGCCGCAAGAGCCGACGACGGCTCACGAGGTCGATCACGGAGATGCTCCAACGTCGTAGACGCGCGTCTCCCCATCGTCGTGCCGACGAGCGCATAGATCCGCGCCTCCATCCACGCGGCAGGTCTTCGACGGAGCCAATGCCCGCGCTCTCGTTCTTCCGAATCGGACGGCTCTCCCGCGAGGCGTCAAACGCGCGCCGCTCGCCAAACAAGGAGGCCGTGCACGCGCCTGGCTTTCGTTCGCGTGTCGCATTTCATTTTTCTCATGACGCGCGATAGAAAGCCAGAGGGCAGAAAAAGCCACCTCACCCTGAAAGCAGTCGCAAGTTCCCCACGGACTCGACGCGCTCGATTCAATTCTAATTAATCCGGCGCGCACAATTACGCTTCGGATCATCGAAAACGAGCGCACGTATGTGTAATTGCACGCTCTCGCGCGAACAATCTCTCTCTCCCTCCGCGTCGGTGAAATTGATGGTTTTCTCGTTTCGCGTCGAGAAGCAGTCGTTTGACGGTTCGGCTTTTATCGCCACGATCGCGGAGCACGAAGATTGGATCGATCGGCGTTGGAGGAGCCCTAGGTCGTTAGTTTGTCGAGGCGGATTAGCCACTTTCCTTTCTCCGTTAAGGTGCCGGTCAGCGATTACTTTTATTGATATTCGAGGCAATCGGAAACTAGGTCGAACAATAAAATTCAGCTTGTCGGTAGAGCGTACGAGCATTGCCGTGGCTTACGAATAATACATATCCGTCTAGTTTTCGTACACGCGGTTATGGATAATACGGAATTGATCGATCTAGCGCAAACTCCATGACTAAAGCTATTATATTAGTACGCGCACCTGCGCACTAAAGCTTTAGTACGAGATCGCTGAATCGTCCTTCTGAATTCGAATCGTAGTTCACAAAGTCGCCACCCCCTTGACGTCGTCGGCGACGAACTCGTGCAGCTTGCCCTTCAAACCGTCGATCGCGCGATTACCGGCGACAAACGGAGCGTCGACGACATTGTCAACGGTGAGATTTTCGTAAACGAGAGTCTCTCGTAGGCCCCCGAGTAGATCCTTCCGTGACGCACTTCGTCGACTGCAGTGAGTCTCTCCCTACGGGGCAGTTGTCGCGGAGTCTTCGAGTGAACGTCCGCGACGCGTTACGAGGTTGTCGCTCGACCGGGTCAACGGGGGCAAAGCCTCGCGTTGACTGGCGCGGCTCGCAGCCTACTTCTCGGACCCCGGGTTACACTGTTACGGCGCCCTACAGGCCCGAGGATGCTCTGCCCTCGTCGCCTCGAGAACGCTCTCGCCGTTTGCAAGATGGACTACGCTGCCGCCGTCGGGAGCGCGTGTCGACTCCTTTCGATGCACCGTCCACTTAGACGCTTCGTGCGGTACCCCGCCTTCGTATTTCCAAGTCGAGCGTGGGCGATCGTCACGATTACAAACTGGAAGTCTCGTCCGTATTGTCTGTTCTTTCGGAATTCGAATGTTTTCATAACGCGCGAAACTTAAGGCAATGTGTCGTTGTGTGTATTGGCAAGTCTCGAAAAGAAAATAAAAAGAAAAGAATCGATTAGCGACACGTTTAACAACTGAAGACTCCACGCGTGTGTGCCAAACTTATTCTCATGAACAGCGCGCACAAGATTACTTTTGTTTTGTTCAGCGGTTCGAAAATAGCATTTCGCATCTTCGGCATTCGCAATTTCGGCCTCGCTGGGCAAAAAAACACGACCCATGGCCACGATATTAGCAAGCCCATAGCGTGTGTTTGCAACTTACACGCGCTATGAACTTGCCAATACTTTCGTAATCTACTGTTCTTTTCTCGCGGTTTGTCCCGCTGAGAAATGATACAATTGAATCGAAAACATCGGTTACTGTACAGCTGCCTAATTACGGTATTTTATCAGAGGGAAATAATATACATATAATGCTTGAGAAATTATTTCACATGACTCCTTAGGACTGGCATAACTGATTTTATTCTTATATCGTAGTGATTCCCTAATTTTAATTTGGAATTTCAATACTATAAAAAGAGTATCGACAGTTGTGCATGCAAAATGTGTGTGTATAGCAGCGAGATATGAGATAGAACTATCGAAACTGCAAATTCAAATTAAAATTTCATACCACTTATTTATTTTTATTTCCCTCAGTTCAATATAAAAGCCCAGTTAATTCAATAGTCGTAAATAAACTTTTTATTGCAGAAATTTCACTGCTTTTATAAAGCTGTTACTGGTAAAATCATTAGGGCAAAATAAGCCGAAACCAACGCGAGCGTTATAAAGTTACCGAAATTTCGTGCAGATTGCCCATAAGATTTGGGGGTCGCCTTCCTTTTTTTATTCGTACACGCAAGCAGCGGTAATTTCTGTTGACGTTTCGGCTTTAACAGCCGAGTCAACTTTGCGTTAATTGGCGGGCTGCGTTTCAAACAAAAGTTTTCGTATCAACAAATATTGCGAGAGTTCTATCATTTTGTTATCTATTAATGATGGTCAATAGTAAAACAATAATTGCTTCACTGTAGAATTTCTGAATTGAATAGAATTGAAAATTCTCGTACAATTCACTTTAGCAACCGGTTCGAACTGCGAAGTACATACACTTCAGAAAACTTCCGAGAATCATTATAAATGAAACGTGTAAAATATCGATCGGTACAACAGTGTTGATTTTTCATTGTCAAGCAAACTGAAATTACTTTACAATAATGCTTAACGTCAAAGAAATAACAAACATACGAAATATCAAGAGCCCCAACCCACGACAGCAATGTCGATAACAATAACCACTTTGAAAAATCAACTCGATCTGATATAAATTGAATCAAATTGATCATATACGGAGCGAGGAAAAAAGTCTATAAACCCTGCGCGGTTTAAAAAAAGACTGAAAGAAAGAGATAGAAAAAGAAGACTCGTCCATCCACGCGTATAGAAGCGAAATTAACGCACGCTCGCGCATACCTTAACTCTGCCGTGCGAAGGGGGAGAATATGAGCACCGTTAAGCCATAGACGAGCTGCTGCTGCTGCTTCTGCTGCTGCTGCTGCTGCACGCTTATGTGAGTTATCGTCTTGTGCAGCTTTTTACGTCAATCGTTATCGGAACAATATTTCTGCGGTTGAAAATTTATGCGCGCGCTTTCCGGATTAAACCAAGTTTTCAAATTACACTCGATCCCAAGGGTCTGTCTCCTGTTGCATATGTATTCTTAGAATGTAAATTTTAAAAAACAAAACGTGGAACGATGTTCGGTGATATTGTTGCGAAGTATATACAGAACGTGGAATTCCACGAAGTATGAGGTTTTCCAAGTCTGATTCTCGGTACAACGAGCCTTGGAACATTTAACTTCGTTCGAGTATTTCAAGGGTACGATCGATGAGGAAAAAAATTGTATGCACATTCGTATAAACTTGTCCATCAATAGCGAATGACGATCAAGCATAATGTATTCTACTTGTACAACAATAGCCACATATACGTGCGTAGTTTCGGATGAAGAATCGTATATATTCTACCAACTAACCGAAGCGTAACCGCGAGTAACATTTTTTTTTTAAGGAAACTCATTCCCATTGTCTTAGAAAGCAAAGAACCGAAAAATATGAATCTGTAAGAAACCTGGCCAATCAATCGACACGACGCCCAGGAACGCACGACATTCAATCCCTCACATGTATATATAGTGTATGCCGGTTGTCTGTATGTGTACATTGAGTAAAAAGATAGAGTAAGGCGAAGGAACTCGCGCGGGCAAGGACGCGAAGGGCCTCAACCTCGTGCGCCCCTCCTATCTGCCACTTGAACAGTGCGCTGATATTATTCGCGACGTCGTGAACGTGTGTATGGAAGATGCGAATGCGAATTGTTTCTTTTTTATTTACTCAAAATCACAGAATCTCATTTGCTTGTGCGATTTGACAATTGATATTTGTTGATGTATGTATCTACGGACCATCTAGTTAAAGTGCACTTAGGTTCTGTTTTAGCACTGTCGATACCCAAGAAAGAGCTTTGCAATCTATTTTACCCCCATGGGACTTTCGGTGAGTCACTTTAGTTTTCACCGGTTTTTTATTTCCTCGCTCACGCTACCGCCAACTCGTTACTAAGTGCACGTATTATAACATCAAAGTAACTTTTTCACAGACCTTGAGTGATATCTCGAGCTCTTCCTCCCGCATTCTGAGCACCTTCTGATTAGCATAACACACCCGCGTCACTCTCCGTCGTACAAATTCATTAATACATCGGTGTTACCAGCGTTAAAGCAACCTCCTGCCTCCTTGCTGTATATAAAATTCGATCAAACAGAGAATATGCGTTCATTCGCGCGCACCGACCGCTCGACACTGCCTGCACAACACCTGCTGTATAGTGACTCTAATTCTCTTCTCCCCCTACTCTACTATCGCGTGCACACGCCGCGAGAGTCGAAGGTGCGCAAGAGGAGGTGGTGTGACTTTCACGCGCACGTGCCATAGCTTTGATTGTAATTTTTCTTTTTTGCTTGGAGCTTTCAGGCTTCCTATTGCTTTTGAAGCTTCGCAGTGATTGACGTGGAAATTATTTGAAAATTAAAAAACAGTATTAATTTGGTTTATAGCAAGTAACATTTTTTTTAAAACTTGGTTCAAGAAATAAACTAATAATGGTATTGACCTTTAATCCAAAAATTCGTTTATTATTTTAATCTGATTGATGTAGTACACGCAGAAAGTAAAAATAGATTGAAAATGAAAACTTGTTATCACTATTTGCCTTAGTTTCGATGTGTTTTTGTTAAATATTAGCGTTACTGTTCCGAAATTGGGTTTCATTATTTTGACCGTAAAAACTTGTTATCCATACACACTCCCAAAAAGTATATTGTATAAATTATCTTTATAAAGTTATTAAGTAGATTGGCTCTGTATTTCCAGTACGAATTATTTTTGTATTTAATGTTGTTCGTCCGGACTAAAAAAATATTAATTTAAATGTTCTAGATCAGTTTTTTAGAGCACCACTTATTTTTAAGTTTAAAGTTAGAAAAGATGTATGAAATCTATAAACTATAAAATCTTTAGTGTCTTAGATCTTTTTTTATTTTTATTAAAAGCTTCTAATTTATTAATAAATTGCAAATCGTCATAGAAAGTAAGCGGCAGGCTTAAAAATTTGGACTGATAATGTATAGTAAGATGCAGTCTATCACAATTAAGAGTTTATAAAACTTGAAATATTTATTAATCAGTAATCGTATATTTACAGTATTTTTATAGACATTTTACAAAAAAAAAGAATGTCCGTATAAAATGGTTGTAGATAAATATCAATATACTTCGTACATCGTTTAATGTATTCGATATTAACGTGCCTATATCTCGAAGTAAAGAAAGTAATAATTAAAAATATTATTACTAGCTAATAATAAATTATTTATTCATTTATACTTAAATTTATTATAAAAGTTTTATATCTTACTTCTTAGTCGTTCTAAAACATTTGTCGGTGATTACGTATATTATTATACCATTCGCCTGCTCTTAGGAAAATGTATTATTACCTGGTTATCCAATAGAACAAGATTTTTTAAATAAGTGTTTGAAAATTATATCTGAACAAAGAATAGGCAGTTGAAATCTCACAAGAGTTTAAACAACTTGTAGCGGATTTGATATGATCACCTCAAACTACAGTTTTCCTATACTGTAAGTAGAAAACCCCTAGTAATTTAGAAATAGTACATTACGATACAAGTGCGGGAAAGTAGATTCTTGTCTCGTGTGGCGTTTACACCCGAGCGAGGCGAGGGTGGAAAGGTACACGAGACGAGAAACTCTTTCCCGAACATGTGCCGTACCGTATTTTTTGATACGACGTGTGGAAAGTGCGATTTTCAACGCACGTTTTCTGCCGAGCGTGCGGGAAAGACGCACTTTGCGCACGGAGTATCGAAAAGATTATTCATACATTATTTTTGTTTTGAAAGAAATTATCGATATTTTCACGATGAAACTTTGGCATAATTGGGTAAGAAGCTACCACACCAGTTTCGAATAGAAAATCTTACAAAGTAATCGGACACTTTCCGAACTAATTCTTCGTGATTCTTTCACTTCTTTAGCAATATTGAGATTTTTATATGAATAAGTATGTTGTTTAGAAACAATTTCATTAAAATTCATATTTTTTGTGCTGATGTAAAGTCTGAAAAGTTTCAAATTCCGAACGTGCATGAACAAGAATTCCAGAACTTTATTATTATAATGCGATTTTGATTTACTTCGCTCATAAATGTTCATATATGGTAAGTTATCATCGGCATTAACAATATTGAAGTCAGCACCGCTAGACAAAAGTGTTATTATGTCTTCTCTGTTATCAAACAGAACAGCAGCGTGTAAAACGCGCCGTCCTTATACAATTTAAAAACGAACTTTATTAATTTGTATGGTACATTCATTTCAACGGTATATAAATTAATTTACCTTTAGCATCTTAGTGATCGACATCGTGCACCAATATGGTTAAATCCCTCTATGACTTTCATGTTGTACAGATTGTTTTTAGACAATGATTCATGGAAAAAGATCATGAACTCAAAATTTCCATTAACAGAAATGAAATTATGAATCGGCATGCTTCCCACGACAACTAATTCGTGGATATTGAAAAAGTTCATCATTGTTTCGGAAATAGAATCTTGCTCGAATGGTGATGTTATTTTACGGTTTTAAACAGCCAATCCTATCAATAATTTATGGCTAACTAGATTAAAAAGATTCACGGTGTAACCGTAATTAAGAAATAATTGAATTGCTTCACCAGTGAGTTTACTGGAATTTAATAGTTTCAAAAGGTAATTCAAACATTGAAATTTTAACGTTAACGTCAGCAACAAAACTAAAAAATGTAAAATATATAAATTGAAAAATGACATTCATTCAAGTTTTACTATGATTCAATCAAACTGAAAGAGCCATACTTGATAAGATTATTAAAAATATCTTGATGAAAAGTTTTAGTCACAATATTCAGTGGAGTATTTCCATGTGCGTCCTTAGCAAAAATATTCGCGTCATATTTTAATAGTAGGTCAACTGTTTCTTTGCACTGATAATTACAAGCCAAGTGAAGCGCTGTAAAACCACCGTAATAATTGTCGAATAATTCGGCTGTGTGGTTTATGTCAACACCATGTTGCAGAAACTTATTCACCTCATCAAATTCATTTATCAGGCACGTTATATGAAAAAGTGTGATATTCCTCTGGAGTTAAATATTTCGACGTTGATATCAAATTGCAATATCAGTTTTGTAACTGTAATATTAGTGATTAGCATAGGATCTATTAGGTGGTTGTATCAACTGTTGTCTGTCGAGTCAATTATCTCTGGTCGAGTCTCGATCGAGCAGGTTGAACAAGAATGAAAATCAGTGTCACCACTGGAAAAAAATTTTCTCAGAGCCCCTTGAATCAGTGTTGCCGCTAGAAAATTTATTTCAGAGTCTCTAGAAAGTATTGCATTATGTTAAATAAGATAATTTCTAGAGACCCTGAGAAAAACTTTTGCATCGGTAAGGCTCTTGCACTGTGTGAGGGTTACCCCTTACCCCGAGATCGAGATCTACCCTGTCCAAATTTTCTATCAATAAGCTATTTTTACAATTCCGTGGTCATGAAAGAATTCAGTAGCCAATGCAAGTAGTGCATCTAGATGTGAAATCTATGGAATAGTTAATTTCACGCATGGAGACTGTCTCCATGTTCCGCGTTAATCGCATTGATTACTGAACACTCCCATGACCAGAGAATTGTAAAGATGGCGTACCTATAAAAAATTTAGACGAGGTGAACTTCGGGGTACGGGCTAGCATGTGGACAGTTTCTACACGAGGATAATTTCTAGCTACCCTGACAAAAATTTTTTCCTTGGTAAATAAACTTTGAGATTTGGAATAATATATGGCACGTGAATCAAATTCGGAAAGTAAAAACATTTTAATATATTCGATGAACATTTTTTGTAATAACAAAAAAATGTCTCTATATAGTAAAAAACAATATTTAATTTATAAAAAGTGTTACATAATAATGTTATTGAAATTATATTTTCATAATTTTTGCAAACCGATTTTTCAAATTCATTGAAATTGACTAATTGTCAAATAAATTCAACTGACATAAATGTGAAACAAACATAAAATATTTATTTTCTGTTTTTCATTAAAAAGAAGTATGATTTATTATTTTGATTCAATTTCAAGTGTTTCTTAATTCTATGTGTAATTACAAATACAACTGATTAATAGTAATTTCTACTAAATAAGAAAGATTAAATCAAATAATATAGTTTTACAATAATAAATTAATTAAGAATACTAACTAAAATGAATTAAAATATTAATTTTACCAAAGCAACATTAAATTTAAATATGTATTTTTACAAACTAAAAATGATTGTAAATCCTGTCAATTATTTTATATTTCACACTGCATATTTTCAATCATAAAATAATCAAAAAACAAAAATAAGTCTCTAAAATCAATCAAACAGTTACAATTGTGTATATGTACAAATTTGTAAGAAATTATCTAGTATAAAAACATAAAGTTCAAAGTACATGCTAAAATCTAAAAAGTTATTCATTTTATGAACTGTGGCGTTGTAATAAAAGATCTTTGAGCAGTTTTGGTCTTGATTCTGACAAAGACTTATAGCCATTAGTTGCTATTACAGCTTTCAAATTATCTGTTATATAAAGACTACATCTTGATTTCAACTTTCTTACATTGTTGACATGAGCAAAAACAAAATTATCACATACATTTTCAACTGTTAAGTTTTTACAAATATACATTTCACAAATACATTTCAAATCTTCCAATTGAAACCTGTTTGCTTTTGTATAAAGGCCTTTAGCTAAATGTTTTAAGTAGTTTAATTTTCCAGAATAAATAAACAATAATAACTCGCTAAATTCAGCTTGGTCTATGTCATTCCATTCAACAATTTTTGTTCCTTGCTTCTCAAATAATTCATTAATCATATTTAACATCATTGGACTTCTTACAGCTAAAACTGCTCTATGAAGAAGAAATTTTTTCCCCCCTACAATAAGTGTAATATCACTGTACTTACTAGTTAATAAAAGTTTTTCAAGATCATCTGAAACCGCCAATAAGAATTTATGCTCACAATAATTTAAGGTGTTTTTTTGTCCATAACGTTTTTCAGTATTCAAACCAAATGTGACAAAACACACTATCACCAGAGTATTATCTTGTAATAAATTTTTTTTCTTATTGAATAGCAAATCCTTTTTGACAAATTTGGTTTCTCCGAGCTTGCTATGATTTACATCAAATGTTAGTAACTTAGATTTCATCTTATTCACTATTTCTTCTTTTGCATTTAGAATTGCAAATTCATACTGAGCTTGAATTTTATGTGTACAACAATTTTCATTAGAAAATTGTAGAAGCAAAGATATGTAATCCTTTGAATCATTATTCAAACCTTTGAAATACAAAAATAACTGCCAACTTACATTAATGTTGTCTTTTGTAAACTTTTCTGAAACAATACAGTCACTCATATTATTACTATTGTGAAATAGTAGATTAACGGAGTGTATTTTCCAAGTGGATTTTCCTTGCTCAATGCATATTTGTGTGACACTCCATTTCTTTTCTCCTGCTAGTGCATTTGTTGATGGCAAATGAACATGATGATTACAAATATTTTCATCATTTTCTTCATTATTGAAATCATTTGACAATTCTAATGCTGACTCTTCAGACTTTTCTTGAAGAAACAGCGGTATCAAATGTGAATGGGTATTTAAGAGCAAATCAAATTCTTTGTTACTAATGAAATCTTGATTATGGGCAATGATAAACTGGATGATATATTTTTTAAGATTGCTAGCATGGTAGAAATCAGCTAAGTTCAGCATTTCAACAGCATTAGAAACAAGCAATTTTGACGAAAAGATAACTTCACAAATTTCTTTCAGTCCATAAAGCTCATATTTATCAGCAGCTATAAGAATTTCTAATAATGCTTTGTTACTAATATCAGTAATATTTTTTAGAGTACCAAAATAAATAAATTCCAGAATGTCTTCAAAAACGTTACTGCTCATATCTTCAATTATCACCGTGTTATTGGCTTGCTCTAACATTTGTTGCTCAAACATAGCTGAGAAAACCCGGCTTCTTGCAGCTAATATGCACTTATGTACATAAAACTGTTTCTTTTTTACAACAACAATGGTATCATGTAAGTTATTTTGCAAAAGAGCTTGAAGATCATGAGAGACTTTCAGTCTAGATCTAAAAACATCTACTTCACATATTTTGTCTTCATTAACATTGTCATTATCTTCTGTATTCCAAGAAAATGCATATACTTCGGCAAAGGCATTAATCTCACAAACAATTATAAGTTTATCATCAGTTAAAATCTTATTATTCTTATCCATTAAATAATCTTTTCTGACTAAATCTACACTTTCTGTAGAAAGAATGCCTAATTTAAATTTTATCGTATGTGCTTCTTTGCCTTTATCATCAAGAATGGAAACTTTAGCATCTATACTCAAGTAATCGTGCCACTCAACATCATCAACGTAGATATATATTTTCAAATATTCCTCTTCCAGATCTCTTAAGTTGACAATATTTATGTCCCATACTAGCTCATTATTACAGCCACATTTGAATACTGGTGACTCAATATCAGGTGCATAAATAGAATTTGAATTATCACCTTGAACAAAGAAGCTAAAATTATAAATAGTCCATTGGCAAGAACATTTAATTTCCTTTACAACTGTAGTACTATAATCTTTATGTGGAATTTTCTCTTCTTGATGATCTTCATTATCCATTTTGAAAGCTGCAAGCTCTGAAAAATTATATGTTTTAAATGATATACCGATAGCAAACTTGATTAATAAATATTTAAAATTTCATTCAAAATATTATTGGAATAACGAAAATATGATGATGATATTTAATTTTTCTAATCAATACGCATCTTATTTGGATGAATTCAGGGTTGGGTGATTCTGTCAAAAAGCTTTCAGCAGTTGGCTTCAGACCTCGCAATTTTCGCTCCCGCTTTACGAAAATTATAAGATCTGAAGTCAACTGCTGGAAGCTTTTTGACAGAATCGCCCAATCCTGGGATAAATAAAAACAACGCATGATTTTAACCTACAAAATTATACATTAATCAACTTTTAATTTGCTTTTTTAGACTTTTACCATTATTAAAATTTTTTTGTTTTCTTTACTTAATTGTGAGATACACACTTTCATCAATCAATTTTCCTAATTGATTTAATACCTGCTATGCATGCGAGCTCGGAAGATCTTCAAAACTAAATAAACAAATGTAGAGCTAAATTATTAAAATTTAAATTGCTAAAAAAATTATACCTAGCAGAAATATATCGTTCGATATGAATAAAAATAATGTCAATTATAATTTTATATAGACTTTCAATTTTATTTTCTATTGTTAACTAAAATCGTTCAAACTGAATGAGTATATTAATATTCACTTATTAGAGAGGATATCGATTTCCGACGTTCGATTTTAGTTTATATTAAATCGATATTTATAAATATAAAACGAAATGTGTTCGAAATTTAATATGCATATGCTTGGTGAGCATGAAAAAATGCAAAACTATTCAATGTATAGAAGCTATATATTTCAAAATTTATTCAAATAATAACATATAAAAATAATAATCTATGTATGTTTTTCCTATGTAACATCATCTGACAACTTTTCAATTCTTTTGAAGATTAATGAATTCGTGTATGTATTATTATATCATGATATTTATGTATCATTTATGTATCATTTATAGTTAACTTCTCTCAATACACCGAAGCTATCTAGTAGCAAGATTCTATATTTTCAATAGCAATTACAAGAAAATCTTTCTTGTTTTTCTTCTACATGTTTGTACATATTTTGAAATTTCTGTTCTAAAATAAAACAATTGAGAGTTAGTCAAGAAACTAGACTCGTCAGAAATAGAGAATAGAAAAGCCAGTTTAAGACTGAAAGTTAAATAGCGTACAAAGAAGCAAACTGTTCACAGAACAGTAAACAATCAGAGAAATTATCACTGGCAATTAGAAAGATGAAAACTAATAATTTTATTGATTGAAAGATCAGATGGTAAGTAATTTGTTGTAATCCTTTATTTTTCTAGTTTTTATGTTTTGCTACTTGAAAATGAATAGGATAGATAAAAATGCATAGGTCAATAATAAAGTAGTAATCTATTTCCTTGGTTGAAACTGAAATTACAAACTTTATTATATGAACATGAATCGACAGACAAATTGACTTTACTGTTTGCTTCTACTCACATGAAGATGGTCCATAAAACCTCAAATTTTTCATTCAAACAATGCTTTTTTTGTTTACAAAAGAAAGAATATAAAAAATGGATACTTATTGATGAAAAAAAATTAAGTATGCGCATGTGTAAACAATTTTTTGATTAAATACACTATTTTTGAATAATTTTGGTTAATTTAATAGTCATATCATATTCGTATTTATGATGTATTATCAAAAGTTTTTTCGCCATTTTTTACTTTATTGTATTCAATATAATCACTATATATTAAACTATTCTTAAGGGACATAAAATTTATCTAATGAGTATAAAATATTGGCAATCAATATCTACAAAGTTGATTTTTCTTGAAAACTTAAAGTATGAATTTCGGTCATAGAAAAGTTAACTTTAGTAAGGCAATTCAAATTAAAATAAAGAATAAAATCATTATTTATAAAAATGTATGTTCAAGAAGCATCATGATTAGTTAACAGTTTACAGTTTTACAGACATACATTTGAGTACATTTTTTCATCAATATCAATGAGTTAGTTAAAAATTAGAAATCACTTGATAATGATTTCAATTTCTGTGGTCACTTTTATGATTAAATTGCTATACATTAATATGAATGATAATATTGATAAATATGATATAGTTTTATTTAGTTTCTTCGAAAAACAACAATCATACGATATAGTATTGAAATTAATTTTTCAAAATATATATGACTTGACAATACAGCCATCGTCGCACTTATATTTGGACGGACTGTTTGTATCATTTTTCTTTATTCATGCAGTAAAAAATCAATTTTATGCCTTACAATCGTGCTAGTAAATTCATTCACTAAATAAAATAGATTATACATAATTTAAAAAATTATTTGATTAGCATGTGTGTGTGTGTGTGTGTGTGTGTCTGTGTGTGTGTGTGTGTGTGTGTGTGTGTGTGTGTGTGTGTGTGTGTGTGTGTGTGTGTAAGTGTGTGTGCGCGCGCGAGCGTGTGTATCTATCTATATAATCCATAAAGTCCACAAGATCGCGTATCGAAAATGTACAAAGCGGTTGATAAAAAAAAAGAGTGAAACTTTAAGAGTAAAAAATCACCTCACGAGTGTGTTCCCTTTTTACTTGTCTTTTTGTTTGTAGCAAAGTGCAAATTTACGTAGGCCGTACCTTTTTGCAAGGTAGACAAGTGAAATAAGCACATACGTGTCATATCTACGTCCCCAGTAGTAACTAGCTTCCAGTATATACGCGTACGTAAATATTACACGTACACATTTTACAATAATTACACATAAACAGTTACGAGTGCGCTTGCTGGAATACGATTATAAGATTAATAGTGCCAAACATCCTTGGCGAATTACATCGTTACTTATCTTAAATCGTTATCGAGTTTATAACAAATTTACAATCTTACGTCACTAATTCGCGAACAGCAGAGCACCAAAAGTAAAACTACTGCAGAAAATCGATGCTTATTGTATAATCAAAAAAAGACGTAAATATTAAAATATCTTCTTGTCAAAATTCATTAAAATCATTTGAGTATTATCTCACAACAATGCTGTCATCACAGAAAAATTCTGCAATAAAAAATAAAAAAGAACAAAAAAAAAATACAAAAAAAAACAACAAAAAAAACAAAGAACACGGATACAATGTTGACGGAAAAAATTGATACTACTATCTCGCAATAGCTTTGCTGTTGATCCTCGCGCGCTCGGATTATTGCATACTAAAAAAGAAATGATAGTTAGATACTTATTAATGGTATCTTCGCAAAAAGAGTGCATGAGCAACATCGCGCTCTGACACAATCTTTTTCGTTTATCATTATCCTCTCGACGACAATCTTATATATGGCAGCCAGAATGCATAAAAACGAAAAGAATTACAAAAATAAAAAAAAAAAAAAACGAAAAAAAAATAAAGAAGAAAAAATAAACACACTTGTTTTTTTCGCGCGGTAAATCACTAGAGAGAGAGACAGAAAGAGAGAGAGGTCCGTTTATCACAAAGTGTCCCAAACACTTACACGCACTTTAAAATAGTCAGATTTCTTTTTTTCTTGTTTTTACATGATACGTTGATCATGCATATTGCGATATTTCGCAGAGGCTATTACTCAGTAAGCCGATGCCTCTTTATACTCAGACCCATCCATAGTGAAGAAATCTTCAAGTTTCCATTGGAGAGTCTCAAATGTCGGCCTCTTTACTGGATCCTTGTTCCAGCACTCCAACATTATATCGTATAATGATGCTGGGCAACCTGGTGGGCATGGCATACGATAGCCATGTTCTACCTGATGCAGCACCTCGGCATTCGTCATACCTGCAATACACATTTACGCAAATATATAAAAATAAAAAATTTGCTTAATAAATGTTTGGCGTTTAATTAAAAAAAATAAGCTTCGAATATATACTTCTATATTTATGGAAGTTTAATTATTCAGTTACTTCGAGAGAACGGTTATTAGTATTGTTTTGCGAGAGATTTCATAACTAACATTTAATTTGCTGGGTAAAACAATGAAGTCTATCATTAAGTCATTAACAAACGGACCATTAAGTTGAAAGAAAAAAGGTCATTCTCTTAGTAAATTAGGTGTATAAGTAGTGGTGAGAAAAAAAGGAAAATAACTCTAGCAAATCTTATATCGGAAATTGCCCATTTTAAATCGCTTCAACTGACCTGGGTACGGTATGCGTCCATAGGTGACAAGCTCCGTGAGTAAAATACCAAACGACCAGACGTCAGACTTGATGCTGAACTTGCTGTAGTTGGCGGCTTCCGGAGCAGTCCACTTGATTGGGAATCTAGCTCCGATACGTGCCTCGTACTCGTCTTCCTTGATCAATCGTGCCAAGCCAAAGTCAGCGATCTTTACCACATTACCGTCAGCTACAAGTACGTTACGCGCTGCCAAGTCTCGGTGAATGTAGTTCTGCGATTCGAGGTATGCCATTCCTGCGGCTATCTGAGCTGACATGTCGATCAGCTGCTGCAGTTTCAATCCTCGGCCTTTGCCTGTAAATATATTTCGTTTTCATTGCTCGTTCGTTTTATTTATTTAGTTGAACATCCGGAAGCTTGCATTCGGTTAGATAAAATACATATTCGAATATATATGTCGTAGTTAACAAAAGGAATGTAGTCGAAAAAATGTCAACTATTTTCTTTATCATGTTTCCTCCTGTGTATATATTTATTGTTTTTTGCGATAAAAATGATTATAGTAAATGTATTCGTGTTCGATAAACTTAAAACAATGCGGAGTAAAAAGAATCTGTTTGATACGATGACGCTATGAATACAATGATTACGTATGTACATACAACTTAGAAATTTTGAATTTTAGAAGTTTTTAGTAATTTATTATACAAGTTTCTATGTCTAGTCGTAATAGACGTGAATTACGATATCAGTAAAAGCATGTTGTGTGACTGATCCCTCAATATAATAACTTATTACAAGATTAGTATTAATGCATAATTATGAAGAAAAGTATATGCGTGTTAAGGCTGTTTTCTTAGTTGTAGAGGTGCTCAATCACGGCTGCGCGCGGAAAATGGGATACTTGCGTTTATCTCACTTTTAACAAGAGGACTATAGACAAATTGAAACGGAAAAATTCAGAGCTACTCCTTAGAGTGTCTATTTTTCTTTCAGTTACTTCAAAAATTTTATATGTGCTTTTGTTTATTTATAAAAAATTATAACCTTAAAGTTACGAACTGTGTAACTTTGATGAACAAAACTATGTTACAAACTTTTGAAAACCTAAATTTTTTCAACACAACTTTGTTTATTGACATCTCTTAAATAGTGCATCAAATTTGAGGTTTTACTATTAAAAGGAGAAAAATAGGGAAGCGATGCAGCACAAAATAAGCTTCCTTTGTTCAGAGTATCGTGAAATTCTAAAGAAGCGTTCTATGGTTTTTATCAATTTTTTATGAATGGACAAAAGCACATATCAAATTTTTAAAGCAACTATAAGAAAAAATAGACACTCTGAAGAGAAGCTCTGAACTTTTCCGCTGCAATCTGTCTATAATCCTCTTGTTAAAAGCAAGATGAACGCAAGTAACTCATTTTTCCACGCACAGCCACGGTTGAGCACCCTTACAGCCAAGAGAACGTCCTTAAGTAGTTATTTTCATTTTGACACACTGATGATTCATTTTCAACGTTTAAAACTATATACAACTCACCTTGCAAGAATTCAAGCAAGCTTCCATTCCTCATAAGTTCAGTTATGATATAGATCGGTTCTTCCATTGTACAAACAGCGTACAACTGAATCAACTTAGCATGCCTGAGTTTCTTCATGATTTGCGCCTCGGCAAGGAAATCTTTAGGATCCATCGTACCTGGTTTGAGAGTCTTAATAGCCACTGGAGTAGTATTATTCCATAATCCCTCCCATACTTCGCCAAATTGTCCTTGGCCAAGTTTACGTACAAATTTGAGGGACGAACGATCAATTTCCCATTGATCGCGTGTTCTGTGGCTCAAGCCCTCGGTTACGGGTTTCTCCACCTACAAACATTGAAGTGACGAAGCCACGACAAAGAAAAATTTATTAGTCGAGAGTATTTTGTATCGGTAATGCTTTGACAAGATGCGAAAAATTCTCTCAATAGAGAAATAGAAACGATAAACTAGTGCCATGATAATGTCAGTGATGAGAGACACATGGATATGCAATTGATCTACGAGAGTTGCTTTCTTTTAATGCTGTTTATAGCTGAGATTATTTAGACACCACAATTAATTAATAATTAAACATATATTCATCACAATTTTTTGTTATGATCAATAAATGTCTATTGAATTTAGAATAAAATGTTTCTTCTGATATAAAAGATGAGTATGATTAATCAATGAAAGCAAGTCTGCGATGGATGTGCTTAAAACGTCTACAATTCTTAATGCGGAAGCCTTTGCAGTGGGTTCAGCCACACGATGACCTCTTACGATAAAATTTCTATGGATTCTATATTGCTTCCATCACAGACTAGGGTAAATCATTCCACTACAGCACGTTTAATTTTTTTATTTTTGTGAGAGAGACTTCTAGCAGTAATTTGATAGCTTTAACATAAAAAAATTTTGAATGAATCTTTGATCTAGTGAGTGAGGGAGGTATGATTGACTTTTCAATATCAAGTAACCAATTTTATTATCATTATTTGATTCTCTTTCTCAGTAGATTTACAAATGTATATATATGTACTTAATGTTCATCGTTTTTTCCTTCTGTTTCGACTAAAATATAAAGTGCATTACAAAAGGAACCAATTGTGGTACTAAAATATATTAGCACAGCACAATTTAGCACCATTATTTACAACCAAATTGTACATGCTTAAATTCCATTATGGACGTATTCGTTTTTTGTACAAATAGTGCAAATTCATGCATTATGATAAAAAGATTTGTACATCTTTAGAATTAGAATGTTTAAAATATTCAGTCGCTGGAAAATGCAAAGACTCAGTCAACATTTGTCTTGCATTCTTTCTCAAGTCTTTTGTAGTTTCAACTCTTTGGCATACAAATTTTTTTAAAACGTTGCTCAAAAAATACCTTGTCATATGCTTAAATATATATGCGCTAGACAGACTTTATCCTTAATACATACATTATTTTTATCAGCTTTATACAAATATTTGGAAGTGAAATTTTTACAATGGACATTCGAATCTGAAAGTAACGAGTTTTTCATTATTCATTATGAAAAATTGTAAATTCCAACAAAATAACGAGACATATCGCCCTCGTAACTTATTTCTTTAAAAATCATTTTTTTTGTTTTTGTATACTTGATATGTGTCAAAGCATAAAAATCGAATGACTATTGATGTGCGATTATAAGAAATTAAAAAAAACAAATGTTTTCTTTCCTGTGAAGTGACTACAACAGTAGAAACAGAAAAAAAGCACTAAAATCTTTGAAACATAATTCCGTATAAAACAGGTTTATGCTATACATATGTGTGCAAGCAAGGAATGATAATGTCGATGCGCATGAACGTTTAATGAACGTAAATGTTTAATTATAATTAGTGGGACGTAAAATTTACCAAGAAAATCCAGCGGAAGGTAGGGTAAGCGAAAACAGAGAAACAAAGAAATCCTGTTAAAAGACAAGTCGTCTCGAAATTTCACACTAAAGATCAATTTTTGATTCAAAATTTTTTCTTTCCTGACTACATCTTAGATAACAAAAAGCCAAATTGGTTAGTATCGTTAATTACGTTAAATTGTTAGTTATGTTTTTGTCGGTGAATTTGGAATAAAAAATAGATACAAGACATTAATAATAACGAGCAGAGTCTAATTGGAGTTTAGACGGTGCTTAAATTTACAACGAAAATACACACAGGATGTTAAATTTATCTTTTAAAAAAAGCTCTTATCAGTTCTGAATATCTAGTTTATTATCACATGCGTGTGCGGTTTTATCAATTTCAGTTCCAGGGACTTTCGCGATAAGCCGTATTTGAAACAACAAAAATCACAGTACGATAAATACAATGCAAACAACATCGATATTTTCATCGCGCGTATTTACAAAATCCCTTGAGCCTGGAGCAACAAACGAAGTTGTATCCGTAATTTGACAACATGCAGCGAGCTGTCTAAACTCCATCTAGACGTAATAATTAATGGGTAAGCCGAGGCGTGACGGATAATAGTTTACCTGTACACAAGGCTTGCACAAGTTGACACACAGTCCGTCAGCGTCCTCGCTGTAATGCTTCACCAGATCCTGCAAGTTGCGGAAAGTTGTTCGCCTTGCTATGAAGAAACCGCCCTCGTCTAATTGCCGGATCCTGTAGTGTTTCACCGTGTCACCGTCGCGGACTAAACATTTTGGAAAGAAAGCTTATTAATCTCAGTCCTAGGCGTAGTGTGTGGCTTCGCATTATTCGTGCAGACGTCGCGATTATGCCCAACGAACATTTCGCCTCTCGTTTTCTTTTCCGAGTCATCATTGAAAGGCTCTTGTTTCGATTCAGGAAATCGACGAGCGATACACTTCCCGAGATGAGAATGCCTAATAATAGTGACAATTGAATGACCGTCATATAGCTAGAATAGTGGTTTTTGTTTTTCAATTGACTACGAGCTCGCGCGCGACGATAATAATTATACAACAGCGATGTAATTTTCCGAATAACGATTGTTCCGGATAAAAAAGAAACGGCGTTCCCCACCGATGATATAACAAACAAACATCGAGCGTCTATATATAATTCGTAAGACAATCAAAAGAAAAGCGTATCACGCGATACGGCCGAGGAGCGATCGATAATGTTTAAAAGAGACGAAAAATCAGCCACAATCTCATCGACCGACGAGCGCAGACGCGACGACTGCTCGTTGTGCAAGCCGCGAGCGGAAAATTAACCGTGGCTCTCGATTTTTATCGCTGGCACGATACGTCCACTTTGACGCGCAGAGTGGACAAACGGACTGCAAAACCACAGAGCGGTCAGCTGCGACGATTCCGTGAGAGGGCAGGAAACGACAATCTCGCGGGCTCGAGGCAAGCAACGTTTTTCTTGTCAAAGGCGACGGCGGCGCGTCAATTAAGGCTCTTAACGAGCTTATGATCCGTACCTGAAAGCGAGTAATCGTTGTGTCGGCTTTCCGAGTCGCGGATCAAGAAGGCCCCGTGGTCGTTCTCCGGAAGTAGCAGCTTCTTCTCCGCCTCGATTCGCTTGATCTTCCTGAAGTACCATCTGTAAACAGGGAACATGAAATGCTGCGGTCGCTCAATGAAAACATTCGCCGCTCGCGGCCGGGATAGTTACTTTCGAACGAACGCGTCTCTTTAACGATGCCATTATACCAATTTCGTAAATATCATTGCCGATTCACGACCTCGTCTATTTGCTAATTAAAATCCATCGGACGAGTCGTTGTTTACCGAGCGTAACCAAGTAATATAATGGGCTTTTGCGCAATTTTCATTGCAAGCAAGCGCTTTCTTGGACTGTCGCGCTTCAATGATTATCCTCAAAGCGACGCCTCTAATCGCATCGATTCGTGCAGGCCACGACTTTTTATCCGATTAATCTGCGAAAATTGCAATCTCCAGCAGCAGCAGCAGCAGCAGCTGCGGCCCCTCGATTGAAACGTACGCAAGGACAGTCGAATTAACGTCACGTGCCACGCGATAAATATTTTTTTAATCTCGCTAACAAGAAGCAAAAGAACGCGCGAAACAAGTCGAGTACGTCCAACAACGAGTAAATCCAACACCTACCGCCTTCGGGAACTTTCTCCACGCGCCGCCCCGGATTCGCAATAAAACAAGCACGCGTTGCAAAACAACTGGAAAATGCGAGAAAGAGAGAGAGAGAGTGAGAGAAACAACGGCGGTCGGGTCTCGGTGGAGATTAGTCAACAGGTGAAAGCAAGGTCGCGTCGGAACGCGAGCGCGCGGAAAAACAATTTTCATCGGGGAAAATCGCGAGGCTCGCGATTAACGGTGCAAGCACGCGCGCGCGCGCGCGCGGCATGTGTGTTATTTTGTACGAGCCACGACCATACACGCGCAAGGTAACTGTACATGCGCACGCGACGTCGTCAAGCATATTTAACGAAGAGTACGACAAAAAAAAAAAAACATTCATCCGGAATGTGCTTGTTGTCGCGTGATGACTTATTAGGGACGATGATTCGTTACTTCGGATAGAAGTGGGTGAGATTTTTCTCGTATTACTGATCGGTTTGGATTTCGTCAGTTTGTCAGAAAGAATGCTGTATGTAAATGTACTGATGAAACTTCTGATTGACGCGTTTTGTATAACTCAATTATATACTCTTTTATCATGAATTGATTGCTTGAAGAATAATAAAAATAAGTGTGCACGTAAGTGTAAAGAACTGTTGATCTTTTTGCTCTGATAATTCACCTGCAATATACTTTTTCGTTTTATTTTTTATATAGATAAAATGTGGAGCATATTTCTATTACTTCAATTAAATAATTAGAATTACAGAGATAAGAAACACTATGTTGGTTTTATGTAAACATGATTTAAATTGGATTAATACATTTTTCAAGCTTTTTGGCCAACAGAGAATGGTACATACTTTTACATTTATATCAGATGATAATGAATAATTTACAGTAAGCTATTATTACTTTGATAATTTGATGAATTCATATTGTCCATTGTACTTAACTCATTCATATTGGAATTTTTATATTTTGAATTATGATACTTTTGGTACTTACGGTTCAGCTTCGATGGATTTCAATTTGGCAACGTAGTTACTAGGAATGTAACCCTCTTGCCTGGTTCTTTTACTTCTAGCAAGCCACCAGTCACCTTGAGTGTCATTGAGTATCTCCAAATGTTCACCCTTTCTAAAACTAAGATCCTCATCTGTCCTTGCATCATAGTCGTACAATGCAACAAAGACTTTTGCAGCTGGTACATCGGCATCTGGTATCTGAGGCATTGGCCTAATAGGATCTGGCGGTGGTGTTGGCACTGGGCTCACCTGGGAAGCCACTGCCTCTATGCTTGGATTGCATATTCGGTCTGGCTTCTCTTTCTCTACACCATTCTGGCAGCTAAAGCAGTTTCCCATTTTGACTACTGTAGGCTATCCAACCCTTTGCCACAGCCCTTATTGATAACTGCCACTAATGCAATTATTGCACCCACGCTACATTAAACTATTCACTTATTCTTTTTGGCACATTGCTCTGTTAGCAGTTTTCGCCTGCTCTGATCACCATTTATGTAATACACTGTTCCTTTTGTGTCGTTTGAAAAATCATCTGCACATTATTAAGTAAGTCCAGTCTTGATTGTTTGTGCGTTTGCTTAGAAGATACTTGTAGAGTAGGAAGAACAGATCCAGGTTGGTCAGTCTGATAAGTAATTAACTTACATTAGAGTGCCTGTAATATACAGTTTTTTTCATTAAATTAGATATAAGAAATAAAATTATTTTAAAGAAATAGATTATTCTTATTCTTTCATACACTAACATATCATTTTAATTTTTAAAGCATCCTTCTCAAAATAACAGTATCCTTACAAATCATCAAATCACACATATCATTCTACCCAAATTATTCTCAAGTATTTTGGAGCACATCACACTACAAAGTTTTTTAACCTTAAAAAAAGAAGAAGCTTTCATCCACAAACTTCAAGCAAACAATTACACCTGGCAAACAATCCTTATATCACCAACAGGCAAGCGACTTGAAACGTTACATGCACAGGACGACGAAAATGAGATTCGACTGAGGAAACCGTTTCCCACGACTGCGCGCGCGCGGATCGAAGGTCTTCTCTCTCTTGCTCGACGAGAGGAAAATTAAAGCCCCCATGGCGGCGGCGACTTGCAGCATCACAGACAAAGGGCCAGGAATGCCTCTTTTCTCAATTACTTTTGCTCCCTACAAGAGAGAAGTCGCACGCAGCGCGTGCTGTGCCTCAAAAGCCGACGTTTATAAACGAAGGCGAGAGATCTCTCCTTCCTTGTTTTTTTGTGTATGGGAGTCGGCTCCGGGAAAAATACTTGCCGCCGCGTGTTTCGCAGCTTTTGAGATTTGTATTTTTTCTATGTAAGGTAGCGAGCAAATCGAGTTTTAAAATTTGTTTTTGATGTAAACTAAAATTGCGCCGTTGAAAAATAGATTTATGTTTGCCTGTAAATTTTTTTTCTGACCGAATTATGCTTATAAGATCTCGTATTTTTACCAGCTATGAAAACACTTTCGATCGGCATTATTGTTACTCCGTGTAGCTTTCTTTTTTCATGATTTAGCTTAAAACTCACGAACGCTGATGACCTCTTCAGCAGTTTCGATGAAAATGACGAATAAAACAGAGAAAAATCTCCCTTATCGCCGTTCAAACTCCGTAATCAAACTAGTCAGTCAGTGAACCATCATCTACGCAAAACTCTTTCAAGCGTGACGCTGCGGCCATTCACCGAAAATCACCTTAACTGCTCTCTCGTCTATGCGCTCATTCACAATCGTCGGACACACGAGTATAAATACTCGCATACTCAACCTTCGTCATTTCAACACTGTGTACTCTTATCCGTCAGATTCGTTCATTTTTCTCTGTATCGAAGCAATCCCTTTATTGATAGCCTCTTATCAGTTCAATGGAAAACTTGATTTCTCAATACACACGCTCACAAAAGCTTTATATCGACCATTAAAATGAGTGTCAACGTGCTGTAATTAATAACCGTTGACTTCACGTGCGCCTCGTGAAATTTTCCAGGAAACTCTCGCTCGCGCGAAATATCCTTGGGCTCCTCGGAAACAATAATAATAATAATAATAATAAAAAACAATGCACTGGTATACACATATACGTACACCTGATGGGCGCTGGTAGCGACTGGCACGAAGGTTATTATAAACTCTTTGTAAGATGCACGGCACGCACGTATGTATGCATACGCGGGCACACCTTGTTTGCTGTGCGTTCAAGAGCACCGGACCTGCCGCCACTGCTGCTGCATGGCCATTGTACAATCTACTCTCTCTCTTACACAGACGTAGTCGTCTACCGCGAGAATAGCGCCACTTTGCGTACTTTATTCATTTATATTTCCTTCGCGAACGGATTGAGGGAGTAGATCGCGTGTCAAAAGCTTCGAGCGACCACCGACACGACGGGGATGGACTTGTCGAATTTCTGGACGCGGGAACGATCGGAGAATCGTTCTCGTGTGGAGAACGACACTTTGAAAGCCGAGAGAGTTTCTTAACGTGCGACGAAGAATACATCAGAGATGTAAAATACATCCTGAGCTGAATGGGAGGATCCAGTGTGTGTGTGTGTGTATGTGTGAGCGCGCCACCGGCAAGTTTTTTCTCCTTCATTTACGTCACGTACAAGCGCGAAAGGGAAAACTGGTTTTTGGCCAAGTCGAGGCGATTCTTCGATGAAATTTCTAGAATATCCGATTGTCGGGTCGCCGATCGCTTCTGTATATGCGCGCACGCGATTGCAAAGTACATTGAACTGCCGCACTCGAAAGTCGCGCGTGGGTTTTTCCGTAGGACTTGGTGAACTCGCAAAGACATTTGCCGCAATTATGTGAGCGAAAAAAAAAACAAAAAAAACGCGTGTACGCCTGCTTTATCGAGCATTCTAAATCAATTCCTTTCACCTCGCGCTCGTGACGTTATTATTTCGTTGGTGTTCATCCCCCCTCTCTACCCCTTTTTAATACGCGATTCTACGAGTTTTACGTACTTTGCGCGGATACATTCGCCTCGGTTGCATGAGAAAGAGAGAGAGGAATTATCGTTCGCAAGTTTGATTAGTCGAGAGCGCCGAGAATAATTGCTCAATCGTCGCGCGTCTGCTTTTGAAACTCTTACCTGCTCTGCGAGCGCGTGCCCACGCGAAATTCACTTACCGTTATATTTATTCGCGCGCGTGTATTTCTTTTTTCTTCTTTCGATGCCAAAGCGAAAGTGCGAGGAAGGAAAAAAGGGTCGTCGCGCTTCCTCGAAGGAGAACTTTCGTTGATTTGTGCGTGAAAGTGTGCGCGGTGTGTCGGTGTGTTACGACGACGTGCCGCCGCAGGTGAGCGAGTTTCACCTGGAGGCGCAAGTGTAAAAGTCAGCAAGCGAGTTTAAAAACGGGTTTTTGCACACGCACGCAGACAACGTGTGTGGGCCTCGTTGGGCATTTCTTTGTTTCCTTCAGCAACTCTTACAGATAATTCCACAGCTATTTTTTTCTTCGCGCCTGTTATGAAATTTATATAGTTCTAAATCGTTGATACCGGAAAAGATAGTTTTGAATTTGTCTTTGGACTCTTTTACGTAGGCATCGGAAACGCACTTTGCAAAGTAAAAGAGACAAAAGTTGCGGTATTGAGCACGTGAAGAGGTAATCTGTCAATGACAAAGCATTCATGCATATAACTTGTCACGAAACTAAAAGAAAAAAAAGGAAAATAAAGAGGCAACGACCATGTAGCACTCATAGCAACCTCAATAACCAAATAATCGCGAAAGTTTTTTCCATTATGCTTTCTCGCCGATTTCACTCCAAATGCCAAATGTAAATAATTAATTAGACGTATCTACGGCAAATAAAATTTGAAATAATCAAAGGATAAAAAGGAGAAATCAGAAGTTTTGCTTTTTTTTAGTATAATTAGATGGCGAAATGCGAACAGGTAAGTCACTAAGCGTGAAATGAATCTCAAAGGGAAAATTGATTTAATTACCCATGAACATGTATATAAACGAGAAGCATTGAACATACATATATACGATATCCACATACACATTAAGAAAGTAGAAAGTTTTCACCGATAGGCCGCTGCTGCGTTCACGTCTTAAATAAAAATCACAACAATCGTTTCGCACAACTTTCACACACACGAAAAATTTTCGCGCATACACGTACATTTTTTCTCTTGTCAGAAAGAGATTAGACGCTCACTGGTGATTAAATTCCACACTCCGAAAGAGATTACCAGCTGCATATACAATATAGACATGCATACCGCTGGACTCGCCCATTATCCTTTTATTTTTTAAGCACACCCAGGCGTATCTACACATCTGGACAAATAATCATATTACGTATACTTACGATTAAGGATTGAGTTTAAGGTTAGAGTTCCAGGTTGCAAAGTTTCCTGGATACACGATCCACACGACGACGACGATGTCGAAGGGGAGACGCCCGCGATCAAAGCAACGCCATTACTATTTCCCGGCCAAGCAACGCATATACACCAACACCGATTGTACACATATACACATGCACGGAGAGATGTATATAAACGAGCAGAGAGAGAGAGAGAGAGAGAGAGAGAGAGAGAGAGAGCTTGTGACGTCGTTGTCGCGCGCAACAAACTGACGAGGAAAGAGAAACACTGCACTATACTATAATGGTTCGCTGTAAAAGAGGCGATGGTGGCGCTCTCAGGAATGCGACGGCCTACCGCCCGCACCCGTACCCGACTGCGGTTTGCGAGACTGTTAGAATGCATCCAACTGCATCTATGTACGGCAGCTGAAGCGGCTACTTGCAACGGATATGCGATATGGGAATTAAATGCATTTTTCTCTCTCTCTCTCTCTCTCTCTCTTTCTTTGTATATTTTTAAGTTATTATTTATCGAAATAGATACGATATGCAATGAAATATTAAAAATTGTTAATTTTTCGTAAAACATTTTTGTCACTGTTTGAGAAAATCACTGTTGATTATATAATTTAGATTTAGAAATCAGCTTATTTTTTTCTTTCAAAACATCGGAATATTGAATGAAATAAAGCCGATATCATGTGAATATTTATCGCATAAACTGATTTAAATACAATAAAATTTAGAGAAACATATTCTGTGAAGTTTTCGTACTTTTTCAATCAAATAAAAAAGGATTAAGATTAAGTGAACGAGAACTCTTTGAATTTTCTCACCAAAATAAGTAGCTTCAATGCGCATCTAACAAAGGAAAATTTGAATACATCTAGTGTTTAAAGTTCTGTTAACTATCTCATCTCTCTCTCTCTCTCTCTCTCTCTCTCTCTCTCTCTCTCTCTCTCTCTCTCTCTCTCTCTCTCTCTCTCCTGGTATCATGCGTAATCATATCAGCCTGCGCTAGGTCTATGACGAATGATAAGAAGAGGTGAAGTCGTGAAATAGCATTCAGTCGGCTTTTCATTAAATTTTCGTAATTCAAAAGTTTAATAAAAACACAATGTTATAATTAATGTTAGATTTCATAGATAAGTTTTAAGAAAACAATTACCGTTGAAAATTAGGTATGAAAAATATAAGGTGAAAATATAAATTACGGTTTATAAAAACTTTAAATAAATAAGACAAACAATGTCAGCTTACTAAAATATAGATATAGCAATAAAAATAAATGAATAATACGTATATTTCAACTTATTATTGTTTAAAATAAAGAATGTAATTTTATAATTAATTTGAAGCTATAATATAGTAGGTTGCCTTTCCTTGCGCGTACAACAATAAAATAGCGGGATTACTCATCCTCAAAGTAGTACATGAGATGCCATCTCTGATGAAAACTAGAAACCCGGAAAAACGATTTTCGGCAACTCTAGTCATCTAGGAGAAATCTTTATGTCATCTTTAGGGCCTTGAGTAAGGAATCTTCTCTCAGGTTATAAAAACTGACGCACCTGCTCTTGTGGTAGACACTAACTTCGTTGAGCAAGCAGTTCAGTTAGTCAGCCAGTCAAGTTTTCTTCTTTGAATAGCGTACAAGGCTTCAATAATCCAAATAATTTTCTGTGTAACAATAAGGAATAAAAAGAAAGTAAGTAAAAATATTATCTCTCTCTTTTCCTAAACGCTCCACTGTATCCTTTCTTAGAGCGTTATTTCTTTCTCCTTCCTTATCCTAATTTAGGACTGCACATGATGGGCCTGAATCGCCTCTTAGTTAATCAAAAGTTCTGTAATTAATAGGACCCTTTGGCTCGCTTAATTTCTATAAAGTTTCTTCGATAGATAGGAACGAAATAGAAATCGAACGTATTGAGAAATTATTCGTCAATTTTACTCAATTATAATAGTAAATAATAAGAATTTTTAATAGTTTCTTTAATTTCATTTAATTTCAGTCTCGAAATAAATGATTAATTAATAGTGCAATTAAAAATCTTTGTTTTAATTAGACACACACACCCAGAAGTACACGCGTAAGATAAATTATAGAATAGTAACTAAAAAATTCAACGTAAATCTGCAGTACGAAATAAACGGTTATGATTACGCGTTATATCAGTGCGGGCCATCGTTCCCATACTACATCAAAGCCGCACGTGCAACGAACAAGCAAGACTGCCGTACCGATTGATTTTAAATCACTCGGGAGGAGAGGAGGCGATCGGTAATGAAAAGAAAAAAAAAGATTCTTCCAACAACGAAGACCTTGATATTCGGGTTTTACTTTACGTGTCAATTGCCACGTGCTCATTCTAATTGCCGACGTATGTGCATGGTGATAACGGGCGTTATTCTTTTTTAACAAGCCCCCGCAGTCTCCGTTGGGCCTTTGGCTGATATAGACAATAACCAGTGTGCTTTCCGGTTATTAACGTGAGTAAGTTAATTAGTTTCGTTGTTATTGATAGAGTAGTTTTCTTTTTTCGACCAGGTTTTAAATACGTTGCGTATATGTATTAAATCATTATATTACATTATTGCAATTGATATTGGAAATTACACAACTAGATTTTCCCGTTTCACCGTGGTAGTCGCGATTAGCCATTTTGACCTACATGCAACTAATCAAATATGCATCGCTCATATTTCTCGCGAACATTATTTATTTCAAATTACGAGGTGACACCAAGAACAACTGAGTGCATTACTGGTAGTTTTAGTTCTTTAAATTGGGCCCGGTAACACGTAATCAACAGTTCCATATGTTAGACATCTTTAAAATAAACAAATTAGAAGTTAGAATTTTATTTTTTCAACGTTACGCTTACTAAATTCTAATAATGCTGTCATTTTCTGCATATTACTTTCTTGATATTTAAAAAATGTTAAGAAATTTTTAAATTACATCATTTTTTCAATGTATTGAAAAGCATGTGCATCTAACTATCGCGTTGATAGTATGATTTTGCGTGAATTAATGTAACGCGTCTCTTATTTAGAAACATATATGAGTATTGATTAGACCGAAGTGATTGAAGAAACTACGATTATAATAAAATTGTAATTATGTAAAATAAGTCGACTGTATAAAAATTTGGTTTTAAGACAAATGAATGAACAAAAACACACATGAAAATCGAGAAATATCGTACTTAGCAACGAGTATAAACGCATCCCCAACTTTAACGTTGACTGTTTGCGCCGTCATGTAATCGAAAATGAGATAGCTCGTTTTTTCTAGAGCTGCAACAACAAAAATAAATTATTGTCAATGAGTTACATCACTGACGCAACATTTCTCTCTGCAATGATGACTTGTTCATTCGATGCATATAAGGCTGACTATTGACTCTATCGAATCCCATTTCACCATGCCCGACATATGCGTGTGCGCGTGCGTCGAAGCCCATCAAGCGCGTGCACATTAAAACAGTTAACTCATCGTTGGCGCGTAAGCGAGGCGGTGATTCTCATATAAAATCGCGCGAATTTCCTATACTCGCTTTATAAGAGTTGTCTGCTCGATTCGAACCCGGCGCGCGAGATTATATCTTTGAAAGTTTCTTTCCTTTTTACCGGTGATAAAAATATAGCGAGTATATTGGCTGGATATCGCTAATTTGTTGAGATTTACTGGCTCTGGATATTGTGATCGCGAGTTTTATTGCTTGTTGCGATTGAGCTGTGGGTAATTAAAAAAAATCTATTTATGGATTTTATTCTCGATTATTTGAAACATATGTTTTTCGATAACTCAATTTTACGTGACTTTGCGTGTCAGTTTTCATTGAATTTATTTCGCGAACAGAGACAATGTGAATACGCATGTTTTTTACTTTATCCACTGATTTTATATGGTAAATTTCGTTAAAATATGAATAGAGACAAAATGCTTTATTCAAAATATGCTTACGATTGAAATATAAGTGGACATCGCGTCAAATTTATAGGCGTGCATGATCCATGAGCGAGTATTAAAAAAAAATCAAATTCGGATGCAAGTTTTTATAAAATAGAAATATTTATAATTTACGCCATTTTTTTAGACTCAAAAACGCAAAATCTATGATAAAGCTAGTATTTTTGATATATATAACATGACGATATTCACGACTTCGGTAAGTCAATCCAACATTGGTGTTTTTTCGTGTATATCAATAATAATGTCATATTCGTAATAAAACAAGCGGAGCACTATTGTTTACCTAAATAATCGCGCGATTGTAAATTTCTACATTCTGATGGAATATAAAGTATATTGTCTTTATTAACGCTAGAAGAACAAATAAAAAATTTGAAGTGAATTAATCAGTTAGGTGAAGTTAACTATAGCATTTTAAATTAAAAATAAAAATTTCATCCGACTTTGAGGGGTGGCAGGTTATATCAACATTAAATTTTCACAGTTAATCTCATTTTCGCCAAATATATATCTCATAGAATGTTATTTTACATTTATATTTGATTTTTTTAACTCCTGAAAATTTTGATCTAGGATAAGTTTTATGCAACTGATAATACTTAAATCTACATTTTTTAATGTATTTTTTGTGTAGCAGAAACTACTTTTATAGAAATACCTTTGCTAATTGAATCACATTTTCGACACGATTTGGTTTGCTTTCGAACATTCGTGATTCTCCGAAAATAAAATAAAAATGTCAAACATGAAAAGTGCCTAATTTCATGCGTTTGTAGTTAAACTTTGAACTTTTATATATTTTCATATTAATATGTATTCTTTATAAATTTATTAAGCAAAAGTTATATCTATGCAAAAATAAATTCTAGTTTGAATATCCGTCAACACGCAGCAATAAACAACATTTTGAATAGAAATGTTTGGTTGGAAATTGATTTTTTTTTTCGTTTATCACTCACGATTATCTCGCAAGCTTACGAAAGCTTGACACTAAAGTTTTAAGTGTAAAAATCAAGACAAAAATCAATGTCCAACCAAACATCTTCTACCAGAAGTGCGTTCCACATAACGTAATCAACTAAAAGTATTGCAACTAGTCGTAAATTCACCTATTGAAACTTATTCTCTATTTTAGAATATATAGATGTCTACGATAAATACCGACTCCGCCTTTCCCTTACGTTCTTTGGGCGCGGCAGCTGAAGGTGTTCGAGACCAATATGCCGACGGAAAAGCAGCCAAGGTTTGGCAGGCATACATCGTCGACAACAAGCAACGCAAGCAGAATTACAAAGATTTCTTGGTTGGACTTCTTCGCGATCATGGTTGCCAGCGGATACTCGACGTTGCATGTGGCACTGGCGTCGACTCGATGATGCTGCTCGAGGAAGGCTTTCAAGTTGTCAGTGTTGATGCCTCGGATAAAATGTTGAAGTACGCCCTGAAATCCAGGTGGGAGAGGCGCAAGGAGAAAGCCTTCGACGACTGGGGTAAGCTTGAGCTTCTTGTCGAAAGATTTTGTTCGACTTGTAACAATTTCGATTATTTTTTCTCCAAGAAATCATGCGCCTTTTCATTACATAATTTTATAAAGAATTGAGATTACACCCACAAACAGATACGCGTTAGCTTTCTCTAAAGTCATTAATAGCGAACACGCGCAAACTGATAAAAAAAAATTATATTTCTTAACCTTTGCACGCAATTTGTGCAGTAATTTAGTCATCACTATAACCTACTATCTTAAGGTTTTCGTGGTCGCTGATTACGAAAATGAAGTCAGATTTTTCAACTCTATATTTATAACTCTATATTTGTAATCAGTGACCTCAAAAATCTCAAGATAGATAATTTTTAGTATGTATTCGTCATATAATTTAGTCGGTAACAAATTAGATTTATGCAAACAGCCATTTTTATATATATTTATTTATAACAATAATAATTATGAATACATTTGTAAAAATTTCGAAGCATTTTAAAGTTTCAAAAGTTTAATACCACAAAAGTTAAAAGCTTCCACATTTACCGATGATTTAAACGAATTGATGAAGAAAAAGGGAAATAAAATATGTAACCACTATAGTGGCTTCTGTGACTGAAAGGGTTAATGGTTAACGCACTAATAATTTCATAATAACCACCATGCATAATCAATTTCTCCTATTATACACGTTTTTTTTTTTTTAACGATCAACATTTTCCCGTCTAGTTATTGAAGAAGCGAATTGGCTCACGTTGGAGAAAGACATCAGACCGTTGATTAATGATGGATTTGACGCTGTGTTGTGTCTTGGAAACAGTTTCCCACATATTTTAGATGGATATGGCGATCAAAGAGAGCAGAAGTAAACATCATTTTTTTTTTATTTTTCGATACGTTTGAAAAAATTATAACTAATATTTCTTTAAATTTTTATAGGCAAGCTTTGTATAATTTTGAACGTTGCGTGAAACCCGGAGGATTGCTGTTGATTGACCACAGAAACTATGAACACATTCTTAAGGGAAAATCTCCACCCATTGAATCTATGTACTACAATGTAAGTTATGTGTACTACACAAATATTTTTAATAATTACTAATAATTGCAAAATTATTTCATAGTAAAAATGTTTTAATCATTGGTTTTATTTGAAAGTGATGATTGTTAACATTTTTGTCATTCACTGTTACAATTCTCATAGAACAAATGATGTGCGTAAACAATAAAATTAAATATTCAATAAAATTAAAACTTCTAAAGGAATTTTCGTTCGCTATGTCTGTTGCAGAATAATTATTTGAAGAAAATAGAAACTAGCGTTATTTATAAAAATGGAATACCTTGTCTAGTCACTCTCGATTACTTGGTCGAAATCAATAGTGGCGACTTAAAAGAATCGGAAGAGCAGCAGTACAGCGAATTTCGCTTGTCATATTATCCACACATGTTGGATGCATTTACTAAATTGGTCGATGAAGCTTTTCCAAAAAGAAGGAAACACGAAATTTATGGCGATTTCAAGCCACTCACTCAGATTCCAGAGCCAGGGTTTTATATTCATGTTGTACAAAAGTAAATTATAAGCCACACAAGTAGTTCGTATGTAAATTTATTGCTGTATAAAATTCAGTTTAGTAACATCACTGCGCCTAAAAAACATTTTATATGTGTTTATACCGAGATAAATTTAAATTAAATAAATACACATTTTCAATATCTGTAATCTATCTTATTTTCCTAAAAATATCTTATATTTTTTTGCAAATGCTTGGAAAGTTTTTCCTATCAATGAATCATCTGATGCAGATCTCCAGGTTTGATCTCTTGGTATATTTACGAAATAGCACCGGTATGATTGGAAATAAAATTGAATGTTAAAATAAACATGTATTTCTAAGGATACGTTAACTTTGCTTAATTTTTTCAAGTTATCGAGTGCATAATATGTGTCAGCTGCCAACAAAAGTTGCATTGCAAAATTAATAATTTCAAAGGAATCGAAAAAATGTGATTATCTAAGACATATTGTCTACGAAGATTGGCACATGTCCATTTATAAATTTCTTCCATTATTATTAATATACGAGGTATATGCGGAAAGTATCAGGCCTACTTTTATATCTCCGCGCTATCGTGTTCGAGTGACGTCTGAGGGGCAACATCAACAATAAAGCTTCACCAACGAATATAGACGTCTATATTCGTTGGCCTTACGAACCTATCGGTTGCTTGCTGACATTCAATTGCCGGATGTATGCATCATGCACATTGTGTCTTTGTTTACAAAGCTATTTTTAAGTTCGACGGATTTTGTGATTGTTGAAAATGACTGAAAAGCAAGATTAACGAATTCGCATCAAATTTTGCTTTTAAATTAAAAGAATGAGTTCGGAAACTATTCAGATGATAAGGTCTTTGAGAATGAGTGTATGAGCAAAACACGATTAAAAGGTACAATTGTTTCAAAGATACCGTACTTCTGTTGATAGTGATTCTCGTTCCGGTCGGCGTTCGACGACAAAAACATTCGATAATATTGAATGGGTGCAACTTGCGAACGAACGAGATCGTCGTATGACTGTGCGGGAACCAAGAAGACCTTGGAATACCAAAAACTATAATTTGAAAAATTTTAAGCTCATATTTACAAATGACGCGTGTATACAAAGTTCATTTCGAAATTCCTCAGTACAGAGCAAAAAAATATTTTTTAACTATATCATGATCAATTTAAAAAATTTCTACAAAAATGTAGACCTTACACGGGCTTATTTTATTTCAACAATTATTATTCGTATAACTCTAATTCTTGGTATAACAATTTTAGATAGTTTAGATTTCATATTAGCATAATTAATAGGATAAGATCTGATTATTATAACTTAGGTTACAGTCTATTTAGAAAAAATTCAAGTAATACTGAATTTTGTCCTAGATGTCCAAACGTTATTGAAGATATAGAAAGACCTATTACTATTGCCATCTACGTTCGCTTATGACAAGATATAAGATAAAAGATCGAAACTAGCTAATCAAAATTACTATTAATTAAGTAATAAGACAGAGCCATACATTTCAAGAACAAGAACAAGAGTTTATTTACTGCGATTAGTCTGCAGTTGGAGATGAAGTTTATGGTATATTATATGTGATTGGCTTGCTAGCTACTAATATGATAACAATGTTTTGGCGCAAGAATTTGAAATTATTTGTAACTTTGTACAATTTGACTAGTGAGCCAACGTACGCAGCAGGCATAATGACTACAAGTTACTTAAAATTACTACAAACGATTAATGTTTCAATTTTATGTCATAAAGTATAAATGATTTACGAATGTGAATATAAAAGAAATATAAAATATTTGTTAACTATTAGTTTTATACAGTTTTGTTTTAATACTAATACACCAAAGAATGCACATTATTCTTATCTAGCTACAATGGAGTAATCAAAATCTCATTAGTTTCGGTAATACGAATAAATCTCTGTTCCGTACATGTTTTTGCATAATTGCGTCTGTCTACTTGTGAAATCAAAATAACTTTGCCATCATGTTGAGTAGATGTTTATTTTACTTTAATCGTTAATTAATAAAACAAAAGTAATATACATATCAAATCTTTATTCAAAAACTTAGAATCTAAAAAAAATTTTAATTATCTTGCAAGTAGACCCTAGAGCAATCAATTGTTCTAAATTAGAAGCCTATTTCCTTCATTCCTAAAATTCAAATGTAGGGAGTAGCTGTAAGTTCAACTATTTTGTAATGAAAAATACTGGTTTTTTCAAATAGTGTAAAATATATAGAGTAATTTGTAAATAAATCAATAATAATTATAATTAAGTATCTTTATACATAATTCATTTATACAAATTAAATTCTTATAAATGAATAATATATATTATACATACATATAATTCAAAAAGTACCTTTATACTTATGAAAACAATAATTAAACATGATGGTTTCAAAAAATATACGATTTGAAATGGGTAACAAAATTTATGATGATCTATTTTATAACTATTGGCATATTTAAAATAACAATTTTTAAAGCTCAATTGCAATAAATCTGCTTCATAATAATCAGCTTATTAGCATTAATGAGAATAATATTGTTGAATTTGAAAATAGATTTAAATCTTTAGTACTTTTGAAAGTTTATGAAATATTTCAAATTAAATATTAAATTATCATTTTGTACACAATGTTAATAAGATTGAATGTGATATATCAAAATACTTTAAAGAACTATTTTCTTCCTGGTATCACTCAAATCAACTTTGATTATTTTTTTATTAAATTAACGAATATAATATTATATAGTATCAAAATTGTTTTACAAAAATAAATGAAAATCTATCAAAAACATTTGCAACTTATATATCAATAGTTGATCACTTTAAATACTTATATTTATTTTTCAGAGATGGTGATTGCATGAGTTATATCTATTATTATGTTGATTTATAAAACTGAAAATATATACTGTGTTGGTATTGATCTAAAAAAAGATAAAAAATTAAAAAATGATTACAATTTCTTAAATCATTAAATGGTATAGTTTTATATGAACTGGAAGTTTGAATACTAATATTATTAAACTTAGTTTACTTTTAAAGCTAGTGCTTTAAATGCTTCTGCCAACAAATTTATATTTTCAGGTTTGCTCAAAATTACAAATTCTGGCAAATTTATAACTTCATGAGAATGTTCAGTAATAAAACCTATAGCTTCGTCTTTTAGATCTTTAACATTGTATTTATCAGCTATAAGTAGAAATTCAATAACATTTTCAATTTTCATTTCAGACAATAATCTTCTCTCACATACAGTTTTTAAACAATTGACTGCATACTGATCAGCTGCAGCTAAAATCTCATGAACTTGTTCCAATTTCATATCAATACTTCCAGTGTATAGAAAGCGTAAAAATTCTCTAAATATTTCAAGCTTCATGTTTTTAATTATAATTTTATCTGCAATATTTTCCTTCGTATTGTGAGTAAAGATGGCATTAAAAACTGAGCTTCGTGCTGCCAAAATACTTTTGTGAGCTGGAATTTCAATGTTAGAAATAACAAGCACAACGTCACTGAATGTATTACTTTCAACTAATTGCTCTAAATCTTTTGACAATGCATTGTAATTCTGAATTTTCTGAACAGTTGTATTTACAATATCTATTGAAAAATTGATAGTAAATTTATCATCAATAAGTAGTCCGTTCTGTTCATCGAGAATGTCATTTTTTTGAATAAACAATGTTTCAATGGTATATATATGTCTTCCTTTTTCACTTGCACTACTTAACACAAGTTTACTTGCTTTCTCAAACACTGATGAAAATATTTTGCCTTGACTATCAATAATGTGTATTTGGTAACTTAATTGTTTCTTCTGCTCGAAGTCATAATTGTACAAAAAAAGGTAAAGAGAGAAATATTCTTTATTACTTGTATGGTTGAATGGACATAAGCAAAGTTGCAAGCCAAGGACCTCTTCGAAAGTTTCATAAAAAATTGGTGATGAAATAGGATATTCTCGATTCATGAGAGATCTGAAATTATTAATAGTCCACAACATTTCACTCCTGGAAGAGAGCATTTTGAACTGGCCTTGCTCACCATCTGAACGTTCATAGCTTATTTGTAGGCCATTTTTGGTCCGTGTTATTGGATTTGACATTTTTATATTTTACTAAGAAAATTCTTAAATTTTGTACGAGGATGATGTTATGCAGATCAGACTTAGTATAATAATTTAAATTAATTAGTAGCACTCATGGTTAAGCATCAAATGCGTCAAGGTCGAAAGACATTAGTAGACGTTAGTCTAGAGCAACACTCATAAACAAAGCATACATGATAAGTTTATCGTCTTGTGTGACGTATAAACCAGCTCTACTACATGATTGAATTCCAAATATTTTTACTTAAAGCAATAAGAAACCAGTTAGTGTAAGCAGCAAGTAATATTAGCAATTTCGTAATGGAAGTAGTTAAATAACGATGAAACATATTTATGTAACATATATATATACAAAATTTAGAAGAAATACGAAGATAACGGAGGAGCAATAGAGTGTAAAAGATTTACACATTAATGAGTCATTCTGGGGGGCAAGCAGTTCGTACGCGAAGCCCCTTTTCGCGTATAAACTTTTTGGATATTCAGTCGGGACCAGTTCATTTCCATTCGTGGTGTATATTCAGTAAATTGAGTATCAAAATTATTGACCTATTAAGATTATTAATTTTCATTATTTATCTATTATATTATCAATTTCGTGTGGTTATCTATTATATTATCAATTTCGTATTATATTATCAATTTCCCTTTTTCTTCCCTTTTCGCGTGTGAAGTGCCCCGTCCACAAATGCGCGATGCAGGTGCTAAATACTAATTGTCAAATTGTACAAAGTATCTATATAAATAATATCAAAATCTCGCGCCAAATCATTGTCATATATCAGTTAATTAGTAATTAGCCAATCATATGCTATAACCTATATATATATATAATCTTCAATATCAATACCAATCACAATCATAGATTTCACTTCTTATCATTCTCCTTTTTAGAAGAAAATAAGATTAATTTCATCTCCAGATAAACTCAATGGTTGTTAACTGTGAAATAAACATAAGGAATTTGTTATCAAAGTTCAAGTTATTTTACAATCAATACAATCAGAATTTTATTTAAAAAACTGGTATAAAAAATGTAAAATTGGCGGTTTAATTTCTATCCCGATACCAACTCGAAAATGGATTTACTAAAATCACTAGACAGTTAGAACTAATTAATTTTTTATTAATATAAAAGATAAAAGAATGACAAAAAACATTATTTTATTTTATAAATAGTTGTAGAAGTTTCTCAGTTGAAGTTCTCATTTTTAAATAATAGACACATCATATTGCATTGTCAAGTTTTACAACGCATATTCACTTTTTTGAAATTAACAAAAACGGTAATGAATAACTATGAATATCTCGATTATCGCTTAATGAAATAATTGAAAAAGTAATATCGTAAAAATATTTTTAAACAAAATTTTAATTTTTCTAAAATCTGTTGTCTTGTATACAGAAAAAGATGTAAATAACTTTATCAAGTTAAATGTGAATGGTTTGTTATATAAAAGTAAAAAAGCAAATTATTCTAATAGATCAATTATAAAACAAGTAATAAATCGGAGTGATTAGAACGCATTAATACAACAAATGCAGTGGATGGTACAATCCAATTCATTATTATGAATAATATTTTTTACAGATGTTCGTTTAAATAAGAATTTATATTCGCCTTTGCACTTACAAAATGATCGTATGAAAAATTCAATAAGTAAAAATATTGTATTCGCAATCTTATGTATAATTTCAATTTTTTCAACACATTTTTTCAACTTTTTCTAACTTATACTCTATAATTTATAACTATCGACTTCCAAATAAATCAAATTTTGTATTAAGTAAAATACTTTTCTCGTAAATTAGCTTAATTAGTTTATTAAAAATTTTGTGTTTTTCTATTCACACCATTCAATGGAAAATTATAATTCAAGTTATTTCATGCAAAAGATCCTGATTATTGATGGAAAAAATAAAAGTTAATAATAATTTTATAAGACACATTATATTTTATAAATGCCCCATACAGCTGAATTTATGAATAACGATTATATACAAATTAAGATTTAGTTTTTTGGATAGGAAACACAAATATATTACGTGATATTAATTTAAATAGATAATTTAAAAATTACACTTTTTATAAATCGTCCAAACAGTACGTTTTCAGTAAGCTTGGCTCTTTTCTTTGCAGACGTTACTAATTTAAAAGAATTTAAGAATTGGCATAGTTGAAAAATCTGTTATCATCAATACAATCCTCATCATGTACAATACAAAAAAAATGTGTCAGATGTAAATTTGATTCGTGCCGGAAATTGCAAAAACTAATCCTGAACAGACGTTGTTTCCGTTGGTTCATCTGTTACCATGGGTGTTTCAGATTCATTTTCTTGAATCTCGAGGAGTCTCGGTCCGTAGAGTAAAACGTAAGCGCAATGCCAGTCACCACCTCCGCTGAGTTTCAGAACGTCTTCACTCGTTACGATACTTACATTCTCATCGTCGCACTTTAACCACGTATCACCTTTATGGCGAACCCATGCGACGTAATGACCACTGCTGCTGGTACGACCCTGATGAGTTAGAACTGCCTGTAGAGCGTAGTAACCACTGTTGCTTGAGCCGATGTCTGAATAAATAAAATATATCAATTATATTTTTCCTTCATTGTGAGAAAATAAATATAAAAACCATGTTGAAAATGAGTCAACCATATTAGTTTTACGAATGTTATCCTATATAATTAGAAATCATGTATATTTTAGCCTTGCATCTGACTTTACAGAACAAATATCTTTACATTTAGATTATTGATATTGCTATTATTTGCACGTTCTATTGTTTATTATAATTTACTTATTATCCAAAAATAAAATATTCATTTATCTTAATTTTACTTCTAATGAAATAAAAGCAGAAAAAGTGAGCTGAACTTACCATCAGAAAAGCTAAACGGTTCATATTTTGCGTCTTTTTGTTCATCCTCTTTCGTATCTTTCTTCTTTTCTTTTGTATTTCGAGCTTTCTCTAATTGGGCTTCCTCATATTTATGGAATTTCTCGCGCATTGGCGTCAACTTGGCCTGCAATTCTTTCGAGCAGAGTTCAAATGCATCAAATTCCAATGGGAATTGGACATCTTTCAAAATTTTTGCGTTAACAGACTCTTTTTCTTTATAGAAAAAACGCACGAATTGGATTGTCAGATAAGCCGGTAATCGACTGATTTTTGACTAAAAAATAATTATTTTGATTATTTACAAATTTCACTACTGGAGATGAACTACATTAAAAATAAATTTCTTACTGTTTTCGTGTAAACCGCGTCCCTGTCAAGTGTGGGAGACTTCTTTGTGATTTGTTCTTGCATCTTATTCTTAAGACCATTAAACATAAACTTAAGTTCAGTCGAAATAAAACAGCTTAATTGTAAAAAATCTTCTTTTCCCGTTGTTGGTGGTTCCTCTTCACACTCAACGCATTTCAGTTCTGTGTCAAAAGTACCACCAAAGTATTGTTCAATTATTGACCTAGGCTTATAACTGGCAGTATCTTGTGCATTTGGATTTTCCTGTAAAAATAAAATTAAATTAAATCAAATATTTGATTTTACTTTACTTAATTGAATTAAATCAAGGCTTAGAATTCCACTAATACTGATAACTAACTATACGAGATGAATTATTATATACCTTGAATTAATGAAATAAATAATGAGAATTAATATTGTAATTTTAAATGAAAACGCTTCAAAAAGTTTTACCTCATTTTTTAAAATTGAAATATTTCAACACTACATACCTTAGGCGGTAATTTTTGCTGCAACATCCTAATCAATTCTGTCCAGCATTCATTAGCATCCTGCTGCTGGAAACCACCCATCTTTGACTTTTCAGCAAATCTTGGAAAAGCAAAATGCATCATTTGCACCAAAACAACTGGAGGTAAAGAAGTTCCTCTATCCATTCCCTCGTATAGATCTCGCAAGGCTGCAGTAATGCTTTGAGAGGGTACAAATTGCAAACTTGCATCTGGTGAAGTGAGACCACCAGAAAAGGTTTTGAGTGCTTCTCGCAATTCAGGCACAGTTTTTAAGCACTGAACAGTGGCATTCAAGTAACAAGTATTGCCTAGATTAGCTAGACCAGCTGGCAAATCTAAAGCAGATGACAGTTCAGCCTCGTTCATGTCTTCTATAAATACTGGCTTTTCTGCTGGTTCATTGGGAACATCTTCTTCCTTTGAACCCATCATCAGCACCATAAGACCCTACAAAATATTTTCGTAATATTCAAATTAAGAAATCTATTTCAAAAAATTAAAATACTTTAAAGAAGTTAGGCTTTTATGTTTTATTAATACATGGTAAAGGTAGCCCACAAGACACAACGAAGGGTGTCAAACTTTAATGAAAATATTAAACAAAATTTTCCAAACAGTTAATACTTACATCTTTTAGTTTAATGTTGTCCCAATCATCTTTCAAGGCAGAGCCTTTAATAACAACCTTCTGTCTTTCCGGTTGAACTCCAGTTAGTGCAAACAATTGTGCTTTGAACAGCATTGGCTCTTCATCTGTATTAACTTCAACATTAGGAAAAAGTTCTTTTCCCCATTTGACTTTCACTGGAAATTAATAATTATTATATAAAAAAGAAATTTAATTGCTGAAGTTACAAAAGGTTATTTATACAAGTTTTACTCATGGGAGGTTAGAATTATAAGTGAATAAAATGAAAATATTAGTGAATTTACTCACCAGTATACTGCGGCATTTTTACCTGCTAACAAAAAATACACTAGTACAACTGATTAATCAGATTTGCTGATAAATAATATCTTAACTTTTGATAAATCTTAACACAAATAAAGTGCACCGTCAGAATGCTACCATGGAGTCTTTTTCAGATCGTTTTATACAAGAATACAAGCATCACAAACATAGCTACACTGCCACACACAGCCACAACCTCACTTTGTTCTATATCCCCCACCTCAGTCAATTCGATAGCGGATACGTGGATTGGCTATAAAATTTGTAAATGTCGGTGATTGGTAAATAAGTCATTGAATGAAATTTATTTTCTTTATCACATTGATTGATGATATGAACATTCATTCTGCTTTTCAAAACGAATATAATTTATTTACGAAAATTCAGAAAATCCTATTATTTTAGAAATTAAGAGATACGTAAGAAAATTAAATAAAAGTTATCTTAACAGCTGGATTTGATGTCGCTAGTCACCACCTGCAGGTGTAGTTGCTGCTGAATAAGGGTGTACATCATTTTACAAAGTGGTAGTGCGTGAGTGTGGGAGCATATCTGAATCCGCAAGTCTCCTGATCTCCACCTAACCATTCAGGATAGAGTTTTAATTTGGAATAAAATAAAAGAGCCCTGGGCTCCGTCGAGTGTTGACTTCACTCGACAAATTCCATTTCCGTTTATTTCACATTTCCCGTACTTTTAAATGCAATTTAGCGCGAAGTGCTTAAATGATGATAAATAAAGACTTAAATGTAAAAGAATTTAACAGTCTTTCGAATATGCAATAAGGGTAGCTTGTAAATAATTAAAAATAAAGAAATATGATTATTTATATTATTATATTATTAATTTTAGTTTATATCAAATGATAAAATATTCTTAATGCGGCCTCAATTTTAAAAGCGATATCAAACCTGTTTAAATATAGAGAAAGTATTATTATCGTTTAATTATCATATTCTTAATGTAAAAATGGCATATTTTCGTAAAATTAAATATAAGTTGAAGCATAGTTTGGATTGAATATAAATAATTTTCAAATACCTCGAATCAAAGTTAAAGTGTATATAGCTCCGCCGTCAGTATAGTTCCGAATGGAGGGCCCCTTAAAATTTGGGCCGTAAAGTTGGCTATATTGGTCAACGTTACTATGACAACCATATACAGTCGTAGGACATTGATTCTGTCCACCCATTTCAAAATTTCAAGTGTCACTTTGCATATCTGGATTTTAATGAATAAACAAATAATATAATAATACAACTAATTAAAAAGTAAATATATGTATATATTAGAGATGTTGAATATCGAAAGAAAAATGAAGGTTCAATTGAAAATCATCAACCTCACCGCTGGACTGTTTTCAAATAAGTACTATTTATTTTATATGCTATTTAACATTGTATAAAGAATATGATACTTTATGGTTCTTTTCAGGATATTACACAGGATATTAAGGAGAAAAGACAAAATTTAAGACCTTCTCGACCATGATATGCTCTGGATCCAAGTGCTGGTACACATTTTCACAAGAGAATAATATCTTCAAGATATGGTCTTGCACTGGATCCAAAAATGCTCATGTGCAAGTTTTGAAAAGTACTTGATATACTTGGTCGAGTTTTCATTGTAGCTTTATCAAAAGATATTTGTAGATTACATCACTGTCACTAAACGCGTATCACTTGAAAGATGTAATCCTTCAACTGATTTTTAGTTGGGAGACATGTTCATATTAATTTATTGATAGCTGCCATCAATGAAAGCTCAAACAACAAGATCTGTAAAAACAAGTGCTTATTATATAACTTGGTCTTAAATATTCCTCGATAAAGTATAAGGCCCTTGAACAATTTTTACAAGCACTTGGTTTCACAACACTTTTTGGTCGAGCACCAATTACAACTATCATATTGGCTTGACAAGCTTTTTGAACAGAGCCAGTGCAAATTCATGTATTCCTACAAATATCATTTGTAAGAGAAAATCCTAATAATCTTGTGTCCTTTCTTTAATTTATCCTGAGTAATATCCTGAAAAAAACCACAAAGTATCATATTCTTTATACAATATTAAATAGGATAAAATAAATATATTATTTATCTGAATAAACAGTCGAGATTTTCAATTGAACCTTCATTTTTTCTTCCGATATTCAACATCTCTAATATATACATATATTTACTTTTTAATTAGTTGTATTATTATATATATTATTCATTCATTCATTAAAATCCAGGTTTTCAAACTAACACTTGAAATTTTGAAATGGGTAGACAGAATCAATGTCCGGCGATTGTATACATGGTTGTCATAGCAACGTTTACTAATTAGCCAACTTTACGGCCAAAAGAAAATATTTTCCTGTAAAATTTATCAGTATTACAATCGCACAAAAAACATTGTATTATTCAAATTCTACAGGGATACAAATTAGTTTTATGTATTTTTTAGATGATACAAATTAAGAAGAAGATATTCATATATATTTTTTTTAAATCGCATATTTTTTTGCTGGAAGATAGATTTTCCGCCGCGCATGCACAGTAATACGTTAATTTGAATTGCTAATTTACCCTACGAAAATCTTTTTTTCTCTATTTTTAGAGAGGGTAGAAATTCCAAAAAAGCATTTTTCTGATGGTAAAAATTAAAATGAAACTAGTGGTATTTTTTTCTTTTAAGATATCAATCGTTTTTCTGCCAGGAGTATGAGTTTTCCGAAATATCGTTTTTTTCACTTTTTTTTTAAATTTTGGGGGGGGTACAAATTCCAAAAAAGCAATTTTCGGGTGGTACAAATTAAGACGAAGCTAATGGTATATATATATTTTTTTAAATCAATCATTTTTCTGCCAGGGTTGTCTCGATACCCTCCATTCGGACACACGCCAAGTGGGCCTAAATGTGTATATGTGTATGTGTGTTCATACTGCTATGTATATAACATATGTTGACTCTTGAATGTAGGTGATACAATCAAATTACTCTTTATTGACAGGTGGGATAAGTGGAATTGGAAAGAGCTCTTCGGTGTATTAAGTGTAGAAAAGTAAATAGTCAACTGTAACAGTCTCCATGCAGTAAACTCAACTGCAAATTCGGAGCTTAGGGTCCTTTTTTTCCAAAATAAACTATTGAAACTTCACCTGCAGTGCCGCTGCTGTTCACAAAAACATTCACCGGCGTTTGCGGTTTTTTTCAAAACAAATGTATAATTTCTAATCAAACAACAAGAAAATATTGAGATTATTATTTGATACTTTAGAATCGAATAGTTGTTAGTTTTTCGTTGAATTTCATTTAGATGGTATAGTAAGGAGCATCGAGAATTAAGACATTGAGACCTATAACCAGTTGATGAATGAACAAGAGATTAATTAAAGATTACACAACATGAAAATTCATTATTTATTTGTTTTTTTCTTTGTTTTATTGACTTTGGTACATTTTGGGGCATTATTTCTATTAGAAAGTATTACCGTTGGTACTGTTGCGGCTATTGGTTATGCTGTCCATTGCAAATTTATGGAATGTTGTAGTGATGAGTACATTCTGCATGACATGAAGTGTAATTAGATTCTAGTTTATTGTTGATGATGACTGAAAAACAGTATCCATAATATAAAATTTGTTTCAGTACTCAAGGATGAAATGAAACATTCGCTATATGGTCAACAGATAGCTCAAAATATTGTTCTCAGTGCCATTCAAAGTCATGTTAACCATCCAAACCCTAGAAAACCATTAGCTTTAAGCTTCCATGGTTTACCTGGAACTGGAAAGACCTATGTAGTCAGTATGATAGCTAAGTCATTATTCAAACTAGGTGTAAAAAGTAAGCATTATTACTTTTTCAATGGAAGAAATGATTTTCCATCTGATTTAAAAACCGATCTTTACCAGGTATGTCATGTATTATATTTTTATTGATTATTCTTAATATTAAAGTATAAACAACAAACTTAACTCTTTATATTGTAGATGATTCTTATAGACAAAATAGAACGGGCATTGAACAGTTGTGAACAATCTTTGTTTGTTTTTGATGAGGTTGACAAAATGCCATCAGGAGTACTGGATGCATTAGTGCCATTTTTAGATTATACGAGTTATGGAGACAACAAAAATAGGAAAGCTATTTTCATATTTTTGTCAAATACTGGAAGTACAGAGATTGTCGATAGAATGATAAAATTGTGGCAAGAAGGAAAAAACCGCGATGATATTAGCATACAAGACTTTGAGCCTCTGATAGAAATAGGAGCTTTCAATGAAAAAGGAGGCTTTCACAAAAGTGGTACTATAGAGTCAAAGTTAATCGACCATCACGTCCCTTTCCTACCCATGGAAGAGAAACATGTTATTATGTGTATCAAGGATGTATTCAGACACTGGGGTGATCATAATCCTAACAATAATTTAATTAAAGAAGTTCTGACTCATGTTACTTATGGACCACCACCTTACAACATATATTCTACAGGTGGCTGTAAGAGATTGGATTATAAAGTCTCATCTGTTTTGTTCAAAGACGATTTTAATTGATTAATTTTACATATAAAAGAGTAAGCAGTTGTTTAAAATCCAATGATTTTTAATCTTTAGTATGAGTACTTTAATTTATGTTTTATTGTTGTAAAGTAAGATAAAATATATTTACTAATGATTAAAAATATATTTGGATTCCAATATCAAATCAAATTGTATATGCGTTTATGAGCTCTGATTTCTTAAAAACATTTTTTTCTGATAATCTATATGATTGTGAATAAAATAATGTTACTATTAGATACTTTTAGTTAAGAGTGTTACATATTAGTATTTTGTTATTTTTATTCATTCTCGTAATTAATTTTCATGAAAATCAGTATTTTCATGAAATAGGTCACAATAAATTCGAAAAGGCATTTCACAAAAATAATGACTGTTGAAGCGCAATAAAATAGATATTTTTATAAGATTACAAATAATTTTAATAAAAATGTTTGTACAAAAAAAATAAATGTATGTTATTAAAGATCTTATCAGATGATTACTAAAGTATGGGATAAGAGATAAGAAATGACTTGATACATATTTGTAAGTTTGATATTTAATTTTTTATTTGCTCTAATCTATTGAAAAGTATTACTTTATCATAAATTATGTGGCAGTTGTTTAATTATAACAGATAAAATTTTCATCGTCTAACATCGTCGTTTCAAGATAAACCCAAAAACTCATCAACGGAAAAATATTTTGTACTCAATGCAATTCTTTTTCTTTCATGTATATTCTAACGATATTCCATGGAAACATAAAATGTATTACTCGTCATAAAGGCTAAAAGCCGATATATAAAAGCAAAATATAATATCGATATTCATGCGACTATAGTAACAAAATTCAAACAGAATAACGAAGGAAAATCAAAAGTAAAATGCATTTATACATTGCGTTTACTAGATATCTTCTTTATTCGTTTTATCTGCTGTGGCATTGCACTCTTTCCCTTTTTTCACAAAGAATCTGTCTATGCGTATTTTTAATATCTATATTGTCCGAACAACTTACGTTTTGAATTAGGACCAGCCTAAACATTCATCTTTCATTGCGACCTACATATACCGCACACTGCATCTTCTTTACACCGTGTGTTGCTCTCTAGTGTTTTTTGCGCTCCACTCGCTTTTGCTATTGCATTAAACATTCTAAAGTACTTATTTTTTTGTTGGTTTTTCTTTGTTTTAACGACTATAACAATATCAATCTCCTCGCGCCCAAAACGAAGCGACTACCCGTCATGGTTATATGGCAGTCTTAATATTCTTAATCGCTGATGAAAATATTTTCAAACGCCAGCAGATAAATTCATTTTTTCAACTTAGTTATACGTGTTTATATGTTATTTAGAACGGAATTTTATCACATTTGCGTACGGTTTCAATTGTTTTTATTTCTAACGAAAATACGAAGAAGGTTTTGATCTCTTTTATTATTTTTAAAAATACTTTCATCAGGGCTATAAATATGATACTGGACATTGAACACCAGGTCGGATCGTATGAGCGCTCTTTAATCAGCTTCATCGTTTTATGTTTTGTTTGCCTCATTTTTTTTTTAATTAATGTATAGTCTCTCTTACACGTTGAATGCGTTTTTTTGTGCAGTTAATTGCCTCTTGCTTTTTATTTAATATATATTGTTCGTTTGTTGTTTGATTTTTTACCGCTAAATATGCATATCAACTGACTCTCTTTTGCAGGCTAAAAAACGATACGTGTGATCAGGTAAAAAATAATACTGTGATACGTGATATATTTATATCTCCGCTTTTTCAAAGCATGCCCAAGAGCTTGAGGAGCTGTTCACATTCATGTAATAACGCAGGGTTTCTTCAACAGATAAAAGAGAAGAAAAGGAAACCGTGTGCTCGACGCGAAAGAAAAATATAATACTGAGAGTATGTCCTAATGAACGGAAAATGGTCGATCGTCAGTGCCTCACGGGCGAAAGACGATCCCGCACGCTCGCGCGAGGAAAGGTATCTTGAAAATGTTTCGTCGAAGAACGTATGCTGCATTAAGCCCAGACGCGTAGCGTCATGTCCCAGCTGCCAGTCGACAGTGCGGTGCCGTCGGGCGATACTCTCAAGGTGGAGACCCGGTTCTCATGGCCGTAGAGCAACGCGACTCGTTGGCACTTGAGCGTGTCCCAGACGTTGACCGTGTAATCGTTGTAGCCGGCGAACAACAGCCGACCGCTCACCGACAGATCCACGGCGTTCGCGCCGAAAAGTATGCTCTCCTTTGTGTAGATCGCGATCTCCTTGTCGGCGCGCAGGTCGAACAAACGGCAGGTCGCGTCGTCCGAGCCTGTCGCCACTGCGTCGCCGCTCGGATGGAAGCGCACCTGCGGGCAAACACCAATTTTCGTTCGCTGCACGCGGCAAATTCATTTGGCAGTCAATGCCAAATTCAATTCGCTTCTACTCGATTAACCGGAGTGTGCGATGTCGTCCAAAAGCTTTCGCGGGCGTTTGACCTTGTTCGATCATGTCGATGGAAATGAAAATTTTTGCAACGCCATCGCAAGCCATTGAACTTACGTCGGTATCCGAAATCGAACGACGCTCACCGAATTGACGTCGGATTCGTGTCCTTCGAAGCTCTGCACGCACTGTCCGCTCCGCATGTCCCAGATGAAAACGAGCTTGTCGCAGCTACCCGAGACGAAGGTGTTGCCGGTTTCGCTGGGTGCCAAGTCGATCGACATCACGCTGTCCGAGTGTCCGTGGAAGTTCTGCAGAAGCTGTCCACTCTCCACGTCCCACAGTGCGCAGGTACTATCGCCGCTGCCCGTCAACACCTGCTGATCGCTGTTGGGAAATGCGCAGCAGGACGTGTACGAGGTGTGAGTGCCCACCGTTTTTTTTTTGGCTGATACGTCGTCTTCGAGGCTCAATGGATAGACGGTCACTTTGTTGTCAAGGCCGCTGTGGAATTCACGAAAACAAGTACTTAATTTCTTGGCTTTTTCATATTTTTCGTTTGTTTTTCTTGTCTGGTTAGATTCTGTGTTTTAGATCGACATTCTTTACCCGCACGCAACAAGCTGTCCACTCGGTGCGTACGCGCAGGCGATGACCCACGTGGTCGGCATGGTGACAGCGTGCTCCTTGTTCGTCGTGAACGCATCCCAGATTATCATTTTCCCATCCTGCGTTAGAAACGGAAGCGTTCGCAAAATAAATGGCTTAAAAATGCTTTTGACGTGTAACTGGCAATTCGAAATACCTGAGACGAAGAGACAATGTGCCGCTTGTCCGGTGACCAATCGGAACACAATACTTTAGCTTGGTGTCCTTTTAAAACCCGACGAGGCTTCACGTTTATGCAACTAATTGGTTCGAGTCTTTCGGCAACAACGGCAACTGCAAAGTAGACAAATGTGCAAGTCGAAGCAAAGTAAACACGATTGTTTTTTTCTTTTATCGTGCTTGCGACTTACGGGTAACGTCATTGAGCTTTTGCCTTTCGTCTTCGAGGCGAATTTTTAACGACTCAGCCTCTTTGGCTAGTTTCTCGACATTCTCCGATTCTATGGCAGAGTCCATGGTTTTTGAGCTGAGCACATGCAAGTCACTCGGAATCTTTTAAAAGCACAGCGCTAGCGTCCGAACGTTCACTTGACGAACATGTTGACTGCTAATTATTGATTACCTTGTGAAATTCTGCAAATAAGATTTTGGGATGCAATAATTTTTGGATTGGTGCGATCAATCGAGATGCCTTGTTTAAAGATTCATGAATTTGTAAACATAAATTCAGTGAAATATTACTACAAGCTCGAGTGTAGGCAATAATGCAGTAGCATTCTCAGTAACATTCCCTCCAAGAAACAATTGGAACGTGAGACAAAATAAATCGAATTCTGTAAAGATTGGTTCTTTGTTAAACAACGATTTTCTAAAAATGACAGCTAAACATCTGCGAGCTCTGATAATTTGCATGCTGACTAGCGCTTGAAGTTCAAAACTTTGAATAAAAACCAATTATGAAAGACGTAGTTCAACTACTGAAGACTCGCTCAAACATGAAAGAAAGTTATGAAAAGACAAAAATGCCACGCCACTGCAAGCTCTCCTAATTTACATGTCAGCAACCATCTCGCTCCAAAAACCATCTACACAATGTATAATTTCTGCTAAAAGCTCACCTGTCGATTTCGTAGTATCCATCGTCAATGAGATCCGCGCCCAACTAACTTGAGCCATGATCTCTTCTGTTTGCTAATTAATTCGCTGCCTGCGTTCAAGCTCCCTCTCTCTCTCTCTCTCTCACTCTCTCGTTCGCTTAACTCCAATCGATGGACACAGAGCATTCGTTGTTCAACGACCACAACAATTCATAATCATCGCGATAATCGTCACTTGTTTTTCCGTCCGAGTGAGCTTTCGACATCGACGAGATCCTGGTCTCCTTTTTATTCGGGTTACTTGACTCTTCGGTCACCTCCTGCCATCTTGGCTCGAGAGTTGTTTCTTGCGTGGATGCGGGCGAGGGTCAGCCAGACTACTACGTGCCCCTAGCGCCACTGCGTTTGTGACCGTTGCTCGACGAGCTTTTTTCGAACTTGCAGCAGCCCCTTCCCAGCGCAGCTTCTGCGTGACCTACTAAGATTATTTTTCGTTTGTGGGTTATCTTGATTTTATTTGTTGACTTATAACTTGTAAAATGTTCGTTTAATGCTTGTAACTTTGCATTTTTTACTGGAGTGCTTTTGTGATTAATTATTATCATTATTTTTATTTTCATTCAAATTTCATGAGTGTTGCAAGAGTTATAAATGAATGAATTTAAAAATTGATACATTTTTTCACATCTATGAATTCATAGTATGAAAACTATTGTACGACATTCAATTTCTTGAAAGCTTTAGAATTTTAAAAAATTATATTTTCTATCAGATTTTTATTGGAAAAATATAAATAATGATTTAATTATACGTAATTTTTACGCACTTTCTGATAAAATTTTCGTCAGCTTTTATACGATAATTATTAGTTTCCTTAAAGATGTTAGCGTTTTTACTTTTGTATTTATAACTTCGCAACAGTAGCTTGATGAAATTATGTAAATATATACACGCTTTTCGAGGCAATAATGTTCAAACTCATCGTTAGATGCATTACTTTCTACTGTTGTAATTGCTTAACCGACATAAGAGACAATTGATAAGAAAAATAAATAGATATCAGATAAATAACTCCATAACTATGACACTAGAAAATATTCAAGTTACGCGCTGAAAGCATCATACACTACGTGCGTCATAACCTCGTAAACTATTTCCAACTCCAATATCATTGATATAGTACAAGTTTTCAACCTCTTTCAACTTCATAAAACGCACTTAAGATTCGTCCTCACCAAAGTCATCCACAACACCCTTTAGCACATTGAAAACACATCGGCAGTTTCGTTAATCGGAAGTCTGAGCTCAATCACCCGCATGACCTCTCATTCGTCGGGCGGTTACGATCGACCGGCGGCCACTTCCTCTCCAAATCCATGAGCGAGACATCCTTATCAAGTTATGCTGCAAGTGCGAGCGAGACAGAAGTAGAAAAGAGAACATGTATTTAGTGGGGGTAGCAGTGTCGCAGCAGCGGCGGCTCCCTCGTTCTTCTGCTCTTCACACAAGCGCTCTTCCCAATAGCTCGTTGTCCGGGTTGTGTGTGCGAACGAGAATTTGTATTGTTTGAACTAACGTCATGGCTCTGCTTACCGTGCGTCTTGCTGCCTCGGTGGCGAGACAGCTGCCCAGTACCCAGGTATGCTTTTCCGTACATTATTTGTTCATCATTTTTTCCACTAGCAGCATGGCAAAGTCAGGCGCGAGTTTGTGGGGGGATAGGTGGCCGCCGACATTTTTACTGGTGTCCGGTCGCTTTTTACAGCCCGATTTATTTTTACTCCAAAGCGATTGAATTTGTGATATTGATGACGAGCTTGATGAGGGTTGCGATAAGGCTGAGAGTTAGGGAGAGATTGAAGCTCGAGCTTTTAGATGGATTACATAAACAGAGCGGTGGCTAGCAGAGAGCCTAAGAGAGTTATGTAATGAGTATTTTGAATGAAGTTGTTCAAAGAGTGTAGATGTGATCATTTTAATTATGTGATATTGATTTTTGGCTTTATGTCATTTAGGTGAGCTGGCCTGCTGCTGCTCTTGCCTCCAGGAAGTACCATGTCTCCTGCAGTCGAAGATCTGCTGAAATCTCTTCTATTCTTGAGGAGCGTATCCTCGGCAGCAGCACCAAAGTGAGATTTATACATGAAACTTGATACATTTTTCTCATAAATAGTTGAAATTCTTTTGTGTCAATTAATGAAAGTTGGAAGAAATTTTACCTAACCTATTAAATAATATATCATGTGAAGTCTATATATATAAATACATCACATCCATATAAAAAAATCTTAACACTTTGATAGCATAATTATTTCATTGAATAATTTAACAGTATATTTAGATCTGTATGTTTATTTTACTCAATTTAATTTAAATTTAATACTCTTATTTAGATATAGTATTTTAAATAAGTGACTTGAACACAATATTTTATTTTTATCATTACACTCTGTTAAGAGCTGATTTTAGTAAGAATTAAGCAATATAAAAATACTAGGATTTTTATATAACATACAGAAAAGGTATCATTATCAGAGTTTTTTTATGAATAAGAAACTGCAATATTATCTTACCTAATTACTTTATAAATAGGAGTTTTTTAATTACACATTTTTTAATAACTAGAGCATTTCAAAATTTCAGAGAATTTTTAGACTTTTTATCTTAATTATAAATATTTTTCTCAAATAATCAATCGTAATTTTTTCTCAGACCAATCTCGAGGAAACAGGCCGTGTACTCAGTATTGGTGACGGTATTGCCCGTGTCTATGGTCTCAAAAACATCCAAGCCGACGAGATGGTGGAGTTCAGCTCTGGTCTTAAGGGTATGGCCTTGAATTTGGAGCCCGACAACGTTGGTATCGTCGTCTTCGGTAACGACAGGCATATCAAGGAAGGTGACATCGTCAAACGTACTGGTGCTATTGTCGATGTGCCAGTCGGTGAAGAGCTACTTGGTCGCGTCGTTGATGCTTTGGGTAACCCCATTGACGGCAAAGGTCCACTTGGTAGCAAGCTGAGGTTCCGTATTGGTACCAAGGCTCCTGGTATCATTCCTAGGTATGCTTACTATTTTCTTTACTTCTAACTGTTATAAGCACTTTTCGATTACATTTTAAAAATATTTACTTGAGTTATATGTAACATAGACAATACAGATTGTGACAGTAATGTTAACGATACATTTATCTAGAATTTTATCTAATCAAGTTCGTCAATTAATATATTCTCAAGTAAATCCTATGAGTTTTAACTCTGTATCATTATTTTTTTATATTGCAGAGATTTTTTTGTAATGTATTTATTTTTATATTTATTTTATTTATATGTAATTATTTTTGTACCGTTTTTTTATACTTTTGTATTATAATTTTATCGTGTAACTTAATAAAACATAGACGTCTTTATATTTTTCAGGGTATCCGTACGAGAGCCTATGCAGACGGGTATCAAGGCTGTAGACTCTCTGGTACCAATTGGTCGTGGTCAGCGTGAATTGATCATTGGTGACAGGCAAACTGGTAAGACTGCTTTGGCCATCGACACCATCATCAACCAGAAGCGTTTCAACGAGGCCGGAGAGGAAAAAAAGAAACTGTACTGTATTTACGTTGCCATTGGTCAGAAGCGTTCCACCGTCGCTCAAATCGTCAAGCGTCTTACCGATAGTGGTGCTATCAATTATTCCATCATCGTTTCGGCTACCGCTTCCGATGCCGCTCCCCTGCAATACCTTGCTCCTTATTCTGGCTGTGCCATGGGTGAATTCTTCAGGTGTGTTTTACAGTTCACTTAAGGTCATTTGAATTACTCCAAATAGACCAAAGAACAAGTTATATCATTCTGATGTTCGGTTCTTTTGGAAAGTAATAATTAATATATAAATATGTAATAATTACAGGGATAATGGCAAACACGCCCTAATCATTTATGACGACTTGTCTAAGCAGGCTGTAGCCTACCGTCAAATGTCCCTGTTGCTTAGGCGACCCCCAGGTCGTGAGGCCTATCCCGGTGACGTATTCTACCTTCACTCTCGTCTTCTCGAACGTGCAGCCAAGATGAATGAGTCGCTAGGTGGTGGGTCTCTCACTGCCTTGCCCGTCATTGAGACCCAAGCCGGTGACGTGTCCGCCTACATTCCCACCAACGTCATCTCTATCACTGACGGACAAATATTCTTGGAAACCGAATTGTTCTACAAGGGTATCCGACCTGCCATCAACGTCGGTCTTTCTGTCTCCCGTGTCGGATCTGCTGCCCAGACTAAAGCCATGAAGCAAGTCGCTGGTTCCATGAAGCTGGAGTTGGCCCAGTACCGTGAGGTAGCCGCCTTCGCCCAGTTCGGTTCTGACTTGGACGCTGCCACCCAGCAACTACTCAATCGTGGTGTTCGTCTTACCGAGCTGTTGAAACAGGGACAGTACGGTAAGCAACTAATATTAATGGATATTAAAAATGTATTTATTTGTATTGTATTCAGTTTATAATATAATTCTTTTGTGTTCTTCTAGTGCCAATGGCTATTGAAGAACAGGTCGCCGTGATCTACTGTGGTGTCCGAGGATACCTCGACAAAATGGACCCATCAAAAATCACTACGTTCGAGAAGGAATTCCTTGCGCACGTCAAGTAAGCTCGATATTTCAAATTCACGTTATAAACTAATTTTGTCAAGAAAAACATGAAATCAATTCAATCGATTATTTGTAGATCCACACAGCAAGATCTCCTTGCTACCATCGCTAAGGAAAACATCATTAGTGAGGCGTCAGACGCTAAGTTAAAGAAGGTCGTCACTGACTTCTTGGCCTCGTTCAACGCGTAAATCTCCATCATCCTGTCGACAACCACCAAACTCAGCCGTGACTAATTAGTTTATAACAGTTGTTGCTGCTGCTGTTGCTGCAGCATTGCTGATCTGTTTTGTTTTCTTTTCTAGTGCCTGCGCGCGTTATTACCTTTCGAGCTTAAAGCTAAAAATGTAACAATTACGCGCTCGCGCGCGGAGAAAGGTACCACGAGATGAATGAATATGCAAACTTAACATTCGAACGATAAACTCGATAGTCATATAAACATGTTACACACGATACACGTTGGTTCTTCAATAAAAAACAAGTACAAGATTAATTTTTTTTTATGGATCGGCTTCTTTGAAGAAAAATACACACACAATCTCATCATTGATCATTGCGAATAAAAGAAGAGATGGCAATTGTCAAACGCCTGATAGTTGAATAAATTAAAGAAAAAACTTCAATAAACGTTAAATTTTTATCAAATACAATAGTAGATATCCTTTATTTTGACACTGTATCAAAGCATTAGGATATAAGTTATAAAAAAAAATTTGATCATTCATTGATTTTAATAAAATTTGTTGATTTTTTAATAAAATATTACAACAATATCATATATACAAGTGATTCAACATTTCCAAGCGTTGATACTTCTACTTATTTTAATTAGTAACTCCAGCAATTACTATGTTATTCATTTTTCTTTTGTCGAAGTTTATTCGATCGTGAACGGCAGTAATGATACCAGTTGCTACTGTGCATTTCTGTTCTCTTATTGTGAACGTTTGTCCTACTAACATTGGCATACAGTCAAGTAATGTAAGTCTTGCCGTTGCTTGTTCACCAGGCATTAAGAAATTCGTTTCTCCTGGTAATACAAAATCTACTCGTGTATAGATGTTCCACGTTGAACAATACAGAACGGAACAATAACCATTTTTCTGTTGAGAAATTTGTAAAATGAACACTTGTTCAAATATATAAAAAATTATTAAGTTAAAAAATACGAACCACTAACGGTTTCTGCCTGCCACCTTCTTCAGTACTTAGCAGATAGAGTTGAGCTTCATAGTGATTGCTGTATTTTTGTGAATTTCGCGCGCATACCCACATTCCCCTGCGAACCGCATCGAGTTTTATTCCTCTCATCAAAATGCCGACATTTTCACCTGCTAAAGCTTCTGGTACGCTTTTTTGGAAAATCTAAAAGTTCAATAAATTGGCATAACACATAAATAAATTATATTTTGCTGAAAAAATAAGAAAATACCTGAATATCACTGATAACGGTTTTTGTAGTTTCATCGTAACCCATAATTTCAGCTTCAGCATTTTTCTTCACAGTGCCTCTCTTAATAGTTCCAACAGCAACTGTTCCTCTTCCAGGTACATTGAATACATTATCAATAGGTAAAATAAACGGAGATTTGTAATCTCTCTGAGGTGTTTTAAGATGTGAATCAAGTACATCAAGTAATGTTTGTATGGATGGTGTTCCATATTTTGAAGTATCACCTTGGAGAGCTAAGAAAGCTGAACCTTTTATCACAGGAGTATTTTCACTGTCATATCCATATTTTTCTAGTAATTCTCTTATTTCTATCTCTACAAGTTCTAACATCTCTTCATCAGCCAGATCAGCCTGATATAAAAAAAGGTACAATTACTTACATTTAAAACAAAAAGTTATATTTTAGAAAGCAAAACCCTACTTTGTTAATATAAACTATGACTTGTTCGATTCCAACTTGTTTGGCCAATAACAAATGTTCCATAGTTTGTGGCATAGGTCCATCTGTAGCAGCAACAATTAAGATTGCTCCATCCATCTGAGAAGCTCCACTGATCATATTCTTAATGAAATCTAAGTGGCCTGGACAATCAGTGTGAGCATATCTTCTTTTATCAGTTTTGTAACCTACATGGGCAATGTTAATGGTAATGCCACGAGCTTTCTCTTCTGGAGCTCGATCAATTTCATCATAAGATACATATTTGCAATTTGTATCTTTCTCTGACAAATACTTAGTGATGGCAGCTGTAAGAGTTGTTTTTCCATGATCTACGTGACCAATAGTACCCACATTACAGATTGAATCTTGTGCATTTGCTTCTTTCGAGTAAAAACGAATTGTGTTACAATTTAAATTGAAGCTCTTTGAACTTAAAATGACACTCGAATGATTTCTAGTATCTAAGTCAAGTTTCTTTATTCTTAAAGATTTTAAGGACCGTAAAATAATTCTTTGTAGTAACATATTGTATACTCGTTATTAAATCTGTAATATTTACGAAGTTTATAAATATCCTGTATGAGTTACTAGGTTGTAATTTGGCAGAACATAATAAAATATAATTTACGTTCATTTACAACTTGCAATAAATACTAATAATTGTGGAAACTTCAAACGTAATATTCTCTCACGTTTTTATTCAAAAATAAAACTGTATCATTTTCACAATTAAAACGCATGCGATGTATAGCAGACAGCTTTTACGATATGCCGCCATATTTATAAAGATACATTTTGAATGTATATAATTTGCCGGTAACGTTGGAATTTGACGAGCTAACACTGGATTTGGAGAAAAATAATTTTTACCTTAGAAAAAATATGTAAAAGAAGACGGACTCACCCATAATTTGAATTCATGAAATTTATAGGTGTAGTGGTTTTACATAAAAAATTTCATGGTTTTTATTGAAAGTACGCTACTATGAAAATAATAACAAAGAATGTTCAAATATCGATTTATTTTTCTTATTAGATTAATGAATATAAGCATCAAAACTTAAAAGAAAACGCTGATTTGTTTAGTCAATTCAATGAAATTTTTAGTGTTTAAATGCAGGATTCAAGCTCATTCATTATTTAATACATGAATTTGTATTTATTTTCAAAATATTAACATGTTACAAAAAATGTAGAAAAGTAAAAAATTAAGAACCTGATATTTGTTTTCACTTACATTAATTGCCTCATTGTTGTGAATGCAAGCACATGAATGAACATTAAAAGTATGCATATGTATGTTAAAAAAAAATCTAGTGCATATATATATCAGTCTCTTACGAAATAGCAAATTTTTTTATTTATACACTAAATCGTGGAAATTCATAATGAAAAAAGAATTTAATATAATTGAACTTGAAATCATGTGGAAAAAAATTTTAGATCATAACAAAATTCGTTATAATATCACATTATTTTCTATGGTGTTTCTTCCTTTGTTCTTTAATCTTGTTCTCATTGACCTGTTGTAAGAAAAAGAAGAGCACTGTGGCCATGACAGAGAAAAGTACACCAAAAAGAAAACCAATAACCCACTGTATAATCTCATCATATGTCGACACTTTCTTTGGCACCAGTAGATTTTTACCCTCACCCTTATGTCTCTCGGTGTAACGTAGCCAATAAATGAGCCTATCCATCGCGTGATTTGATCTATCACGAATCGCTTGAGAAACAATCCTGGCATTTTCTCGATATTTGGTATTTTCGTGCATTTCCATGACGATCTCAACCACAGTATCTGACATTGAATCGATTTTCTCGGTGTGACCAAAACCTAAATCGGCAGCTCGGCGGGAATTACGCCACTCGTCTAGTGTACGCGGAAAACAGATTATTGGGGTACCGTGGAACGCACTTTCCAAGAATTCAGAATCAGTGCAATGGGCTAATACTAAACGAGCTCTGGAGTAGCCTGAAAATTTGCAAGTTATTGAAATTATTATAAGAGAATAGACTCATTAAGAGCATTAAAATCTCTTTTATAATTCTCGTCTATTAAACACATTAATAATAATAACCTATAAGATCTTGTCTGTCAACATCTTTATGAATAAAAAGGTTGTTTGGCTTGTCAGACATTCTTGCTTGTTTATTCTTCCATATTACAGCTAAGCTGTTTGACACTGGGGTTTGTACGGTAGCACTGTCATATAATTTCTTTGCAACAGCTAGAATCATTGGTCCATGATCCTTATCTAAAAGTACAATAACTGTACCAGTTTTAAATTGAACCAGATCTTTCTGGAGTTCAGAAGGCAGAGGTTGATTGCCACGACAATGATGACATCCAATCTAATTCACATATAAAGTATCCAATTATTAAAACGAATGTTATATTATTGATTGAAAAAACAGTATACATATAATCAAATAAATTATATAATTCCAAGGAAATAAAAATAAATTGTTATAAACTAATTTTCTTTGTTCATTTTCATTCAAATAAAGTTTAAAGTCACATTTACCTCTGGTATCAATTGGGTAAGTGGAGCTGAGTTCATTCTCAAAACTGGATCTGCACCCCACAGTACTAATTGAACAGAAGAATACAAGTTATTCAAAGGAGCATCACCTTGTGGCATCTTTTCTTTCATCATTTGCTGAGTTGGACCAATATAATTTCTATCTATAGACCATAAGTTAAACTTCAGATTAACATTCTCAAAAATGCCTTGTATAAGTCCTGACTGATGAACTGGCAGTGCCATTCCAGTTTTTATAAACACATATAGCTCTTCATCATGGCCTCGAGCCCAGATAACAGGAATAGAATTTATAGAGGATGCCCATGGTAACAAGCATGCATCATGTCTAAAAAACATCACAGCCATAAATAAGCAATAGGATATTATTTCCATTATATCAAATAAAATTAAAAAATACCTGACTCCTGGGAAAATAACAAATGTAGGTTCAAACCTATGAATCTGCTTCTGTGTTTCTCGATGAGAGATAAAACTTTCGCAAAGCTTCAAAGCTCTAACATCCTTAGTATCAGTAGACTTAACATGACTAGCATCAACCTTAATCACTTCTTCAGTTTCATTCAATCGTTCGTAAAAGTTATTCTCATCTGATGGAACAACAAATGTAGTCTGAACTCCAAGATCAGATATTGTATAAGCAAGCAAAGACAAGTCATACACATCCTCAAATGCAATAACTACTGCTGAATCTGGTGGAGCTGCCAAAGATGATGCTGCTGCACAATGCATCAGCAAAGCACTTAATATTATGTAAACTAAACCCATTTTCTTATGGAAAATATCACGGTTTACTAAAGTTTGCTAGAATTTCTTGAACTAAAGCATACACAATTAAGAATGCATTGCTCTCTCTTGAGAAAAAAGTAGTTCTTTCTACGTGTACTCAGCCGAAAGGTCGCGGCTACTGTAGAAATACGTATTAATACTCGTTAAACTATCTCGTAAGTTTAAAAATTTTCTTTTTTATTTATTCAAAGTCCGATTATTTAATATTCACTGAATATTAACCGGCCTTTTCCATTCATACACTTTCATTGAAAAAATACTTAATTCACATTAAAGATATAAATAAAAAAACCAGACACAAATGTTTACGCGCAACGGTCATCGGACCGCCACGAAAGGTTCCGCGGCTCTTTTGTGATACGGATATAACAGAAATATAATGCTAGAGTATGTGTGTGGGTGGCAAAATCGCACCCTGATTAAAAAAAATTTACACTATGTGACTGCTGTCCGATGACAAGCAGTTTATATGTATGTACTATATACGATCGACACTTGCCGACACCGAACACGTGATCATAATAGATAGCGGGGATTTCAAAGCCTCTTTAACAAACAAGCATGTCAACATCAACGTCGAGTAATTTTCTGTACTGTAATAATTCTTTCGTAAACTTGAAGGAATATCGTGAAATTTGAGTTTCTTTCTTTTACATAGATTCGATTGATGACAGTCAGTTACAAATTTATCAGTGAATAGTCACAATTCTCTGTTGTACTTTAAAAATCTTCTCTTTTTCTGTTTTACTTTTTCCGGGCGAAGACAAGATAACGGGAAAAAAGACAATTCATCATTAGCAAACCGAGTGCTGTAGGAGTCAATCAAAATCCAGGCGAAAGTCGAGATCTGGTCGAGATCTGCGATGGCGCATCAAAGAAAATAGAAAAAAGGGCGGAAACGTTTTGCTATAGCAGCGCCGCGCATCGGGAAAAGTGTATACGTGATTACGCATGTATGTGTCATGTTTGCGTGTGTTTGTGTGTGGAGAATAACTGTGTGACTGTTAACTACAGGATAGTTTTGAGGCTGTAGCAAATAGCAGCAGCAGTCGCGAATGGTCGTCGTGTGTTACTCTGCAGCAACACAGCTTTGAATTTGAAGTGGGTTACGTAGTTGTGATATACCACACGTAGGCACTACGTACGTACAGGATCACAGTGTGGAGTACTAAAGTATCCGAGTAGCAGCAGCAGACTCAGCAAAGCGTCCGCTCCGCACCTACAAGGCAAGAAGAACGGCGTCGTCATCATATCCACACGCACTGCAGCAGCAGCAACCCAGCTGAGAGAGAAAGAGAGAGAGAGAGAGGTAGGTGAGTGTTTTGAAGCATCCGAAAGGAGAGTGCATCGTTATTTCCATAACGCTCCTTTATTGGTGATAGCTATCGTGAAAATAGTGTGTTACGACGTACGTTTGAAAGAATCTTCTCTACCTATTGTGTTGTTCAAAACTTTCGTGTGAAGTGGGTGAAAGAAGAGAGAGAAAGGAGATTCTGCGTGATTGCAGTAGTCCCAGGTGATTGTACTATTGCTGGATGTTGGGTTAGGTGGAAGAGAGAGAGAGAGAGAGAGAGAGAGAGAGAGAGAGAGAGAGAGAGAGAGAGAGAGAGAGAGAGAGAGAGGAAGTGGTCTTTTGCTTCTGTGTTTCTGGAATCACTGTCTTGCTGGATATACTTATAGTATATTTTGAGGATATGCAATGTAATTTGCAAATGATTTCACAGTTTTATAACATCTGTATATTGTTTTTTACAATTCATAAGTTAATGTATTATTTACTCTTTATTTACATAACTGACTTATCTTACCTTACAAATAGCAGTAATAATTACTGTTCATCGTACTTTGTACTATCAAGATACGCATGAAGCATTGAAAAATTGAAATGTTCCACATCACTGGAGAATCCTCATTCGAGATTTTTTTTTTGCTGATAGGCAGGATTGCTGTTTATCTTAGTTGCACAAGGCCCTTTTTATCATATTGAAAAGATGAATAGTTCAAAGCAGCCATTTTTAATGGTAATAAAGGTTTTGTGCACAGCAATTTTCTCTTATTGTTCATTGATAGCTAACCCCATTCTCCAACGAGCTATATCTCATAAATATCAATAATACTTGGTAATAATGGGATCATTGCAAATTTTGTCAAATAGTTGCCCTTCTGTAGTACAATTTCGTATGTGCGTGTGCACGTAAACAAATCGACGCGTTTTGGTAGCTTTTAAAAATAAATCTTTCTATTTTTAAAAGTGGTGAGTTTATCCTTTTTGTTAATTATTTTCCGACAGTTTTTATAGATTTCCTTTTCCTTTGGAATTTCGTAGCGTGCCTATTTCTGAATGTTTACGTGGATGTTTATATACATGATTAAGGAACATTGAAGTATTGTTGAAAAAAGCACGTTGACGTTTCAAATTAGCGTCAGGCTGTACGAGGAAGGTTAATATGTTTTTTTTCCTTAACGCAAAATGTTTCTTCAGCTGCATAAACATACATACAGATTCAAATCTATATCAATTTATATCAACTGCCGAGTGCTGTTCGATTTGATTTCATATTCTAACTTCGGATAAAATAGCTCGAGATACTTGAGTTTTATTATTTCGCTGTTTAAGTACCAATGTCATACTCCAGTTATACGTACAAGCGATCTCATTACTGTTGAGTATATACCTACATTTTTCAACTCGAAAGTAATTCGGAGTAACGCGAAAATACAAAGTCCTGTTGATGAAAAGCGGCTCGAGAGAGAAGAAATCACGTGCTTCCCTTCTTGCTTTCGCGCGCGTAGAAGTTCATTGTCGCGCGCGAAACGTGCAGTTGCGCGAAGAAACGTATACGTACGACTATCTGTCGCGCATACTCTACACACTGGCAATCGATAAGCTCACGGACAACTAATGTCATTACGCAGCGTTTGCGGGGGAATCCTTATACACCCACCACGTCGTCAAAGTGGCTCTAGCCTACGTCTCGCGTTAGAGAACGCTCGCTTATTTAACGGCGACTTGGCTTTTTTTTTCTCTCCTTTCGGCGGCGGAGAAGTTCATTAGATGCGCGTGATACTATGGCACGATGATTATTAAAGAGTGTCTTGTTTTTTTATTTGTCTTTTTTTTTAATTTACGGATTGACCAAGGAAGACAATTTTTCTCCTTATTATTTGATAAAATTATTTTGCGATAGCTTAAGCTTACATTCGACGAATATCGGAAAGAACGCTAGATATTTAGAACTGTTGAAGTATTCAGTGAACGGCAAAGCTTGATGTACATATGTCAATCGTATTAGCTGTGAGTGCTATTTTTATCATCATCGTTTGAAGTTTTCGTGTAAGCATTATGCGCTATAACCTTTTCCCGACAATTGGATAACATTTGCAAATGTTTTACAGACCGACTCGTTATCTGTGTGAAACGTACGTTCTTAATCAAGATAAATGCCTCCGTTGTGAGTCAGAGTCGAAGAAAAGTACGTTCACATTACTTTCAATCGTGGTTATTTCTCCCGTTTTGATTCTTTTTTAAACAAAAAATGAGGACCAATATGTTCAATCACTTATAGTTACACTATGCTTCGAGGCTATTGGTAGCTCACTTTTGTTTAGCCACGTTGCCATACTGTCATATCAATACAGGGCTTTATCGTTAGAAGTGTCCATTGTCTCTCTCTCTCTCTCTCTCTCTCTCTCTCGATGTAAGAGTCAACGCACGAGTCCTGCGTACGTCGGCAAGGACTACGCGCGAGCAAAAAGCTAGCGCACGTGTGTTGCAGCAATGACCCAAATGGAGCGACATTGAGCGGCAACCCTGCCAGTGATTAATCCTTTGACGTGCGCGAGGAAATCGCGATTTCCTGCTGTACGGCCGCGCGCGCGTCTTATCTCGTTGGCGGGCGCGCGGCGCGAATTGAGTTGTTAACGCTCGGCAATTATGGGCGCGCGTGCCATCAACGCGTGACAGTAATTATAGTTCGAGAACCTTTTCGTCGGCGAGTCGAGGGCGCTAAGTGCGTCGCGCGAACGACACCTCTTTCGGCGATCTCGTTGGATCGCCTTCTGTATACCTTCTGATTTTGCCTCGAGATGCTTTTTTTTTTTCGTCCGTGCGAACTGACTCTTGTCGCATAACGCGTACTCTGCATTCAACACAATGCGCTGCGTTGTCTTTGCTCTCGAGTGTTCATTAATTAGAGTTGGAACGGATCTGTATATAACGCAAAAAGCGCGTACAGTCAGAAACACGGGACGTTTTGTGTCGCGTGCATTTCTTACGTTTGGGGTCTGCGGATGTTTTTTCTTTTCTTTTTGCAATCGATCAGCTTACACGCGATTGTGTGGCTTCAAAGCAAACGCAGAAGACAAGATTTTCTCGAGCGAAGTTATCCAATGTGCATGAGTACTAAGTACTTGTTTCCTCTTTCGATGCAAACAAATTCGCCCCTCTTTCCTCGTCCTCCCCAATCGACGGATATTCCTCGCGCACCACGACGATCCTGCGATTCCGTTCGACTGCTGGTTGGATAGAAAACCTCGCGAAACTGGGCGTGCGACGCGAGCACGCGCGCGCGCGCCCATGCCCGTGTGTCGAGAGCTGGCCCGTATCAGTCGGTCCCGTCGGAGATAAGATAGCGAGGTGCTCAAGAAAGCGCGCTTATTGTTTTTTCAGGCCAAGTTGCGGAGGTGCGCTGCCTGCGTTGCGACCTTTTCTCCGAGCGAGCGGACCCAGCGCCGGATAATCGAACGTGAGTATCCGAATCATATGACTTACGCCGGAAAGAGACGAACAAGTTGCCTGATGTAGATACACGTGCTGTTGTCGCGAACTACCTTTTCTCTCTCTCTCTCTCTCTCTCTCTCTCTCTCTCGATTTAAAATTCGGAATGTAGCTTAGATTTCTCGCGAGACTTACATTGACAATTTTACAGGATGTACTTGTAAAAGAACACTCGTCTGTTTTGTTTGTTTTTGCAAAGATATGCTCCTAATTTGGAACTATCAGGTAAAGAAATTAAAACCTAAGTGACGCATAGTTACGTATTCTCTGTATACGAAGTATCGTTCATTCATCCGTAGAACAACGATCATATCGCGAGTATATGTACATTCCGTAGGTATACATGGAGATGAGAAGAATAAGAGGATGGCATGATCTGTCCGAATCACGCTTGCATGGTAGACCTACGTATGTTGCTTTTTTGCGCTGTGCAGTATAGGTAATTCGTCGCAAAATTACGACGTTATCGCCGAGCCGCAGAGCAGTCGATAATGGGCGAGCATGTACGTGCGCGCGACGTCGTGAATTATTTCGTGGCGAGGGGGCGGAGGACTCGCTTCTCTCTCTCTCTCTCTCTCTCTCTCTCTCTCTCTCTCTCTCTCTCTCTCTCTCTCTCTCTCTCTCTCTCGCTCTCTCGCTTGCAACGGCCGAATGTCTTTTTGTCGAGAGCGTTACGTAAACAAAGGGGTCCGATAAACGTGCGCGCAGAAGAGCGAAACGAGTTCGAAGCGTCCAATCGCGATAATCGACGTACCTGCGCCGTCTTCCTACACACGTGGGCGGACAACCGCGCGTTTGTCTCGCCCATTAAAGTCCCCGGCTACGCATTGTATCGCCACGTTGATCAGCGTTCGTCGACTTCTTTGGCTTATTCAATTAACCGTTTACTCTTGGGATTTCGTCGAACGCTGCTTTTCTTTTCTTGCCGGATGATACTAACAATATGTTTATCGGATTAAAATTTGTCTTTGTACAACTCAGCTAGATCGTGAATAATTTTATTTTCTTTATCTGATTAGTGTCGAGGTTTTCCTTTTTTTTTGTAACGTTTGTTATTGGTAAAGAAAAAAATATTGAATTAATGACTCTGAAAACTACATTTGCCAAAGATAATACGCAAAGACAAGATTTTAAATTAACTCACACTTTGAGTTGAGTGCACACACTTTCAAAATTACAACTGTTTACTTTAACAAAGTCACAAATACTTACCGTAGGTATAAACTTTCAACTTCGAGTGTTCAACAGTTTTTCCGTTCGCCGCCGCCTATCTAAAAGAGTATGGCCTTGGAGAAGGTAAACGCGTTTCTCTGTTGTGTGTGTGTATTAACGAAAAAAGGACGGATTCCGATTGTTAAAGTAGATAGAATAATCGAGCAATAATTGACTAACTATAGCAAAACAAAAAGTAATTCTTCGGGTGAGCACAAAAATCGCACTTTGTTGCGAGCATGTGTCATTTGCACGCGTCATTTGCACGCTTCCTTGATCGTGCCGCGGACGTGATAACGACACCGCGACGACTGTCTTCTTCGTGCTCATTTTTTTTTTCCTTCGCTTCCGCCTCGACACACTCCAGAAATCATATTGTCGTTGGACGGCCGTACGTTGATCTCGAAGATATATGTAAATTTTATAAAGAACTTGTGGCCATTTTCATTTGTACGAAACGACGAATCTTGACGAGTAGGTTTTTCTGCTTAGACCAGAAAAAACGGCGTTTCACGCTGCGAAATCATTTTAGCCGCGGAATTTTCATAACGTCAAATTGTATTCCTCGCCGATATTAATTGAAGTGTCGTTCGAACGAAAGTAACACTAGTCGACGTTTGGTCGCAGTAGAGAAGAAAAAAGGCAAGCGAAAAAGAAGAAAAATCGACTTGGCGCGTTACGGCGCGCACGTGTCTCCTCGCAAGAGCAAACGCGCGATCGTCAACCGTTAATTTTCATCTCGCGCGCGTACGCACATGCACTTTCGCGTTGCGTCGCGATAAGCCACTTGCTACCTTGATTTCTCTCTCTCTCTCTCTCTCTCTCTCTCTGTCTTTCCATGCGAGTTAGGCGCAAAACAAGTTTTTACCTCCGCGCGTACGATTGCGCAATTGAAAAGACGCGTGCCCGTGACTTTTTCGACCTTCGCGCAGGGAATCTCGTCGACGAAACTCGCAGATGAACAGATGAGGTGATCGCCCGTTTACCGAATCGCGAGGCGTCGCTGAGCCGCACGATATGGCCAGTACTCGTTGCACGAGACTCGTGAACACGTGCTTTTCTCTCTCTCTCTCTCTCTCTCTCTCTCTCTCTTCTCATCTCGAGGAAGAAACGAGCTTGCGGGCTTTCATCATCACTAACGCTATTAGTCGCATGATGATGTGCGTGTGTGTGTGCGTGTGTCATTGTTGTCGTCACAAAAGCACGCACGAGCTCTTATTAATTTAGCAGGATCGAATTGTATTTGTTCACTGTTGCTGCTTTTAGCCACGTAAAAGGAATGAGAAAGATTGGAAAATATTTTGTAGATGCGGCGACAAGGACAGGACGTGATGCAGGTCAACCTGGCGGGTATCAGGCGGGACATCGTTAATCTCGCTCACAACTACAGCAATGCCCAGGTTAGATTCAATCGATCGAGGATCCTCTTAAAACTTTATAAGATTGGCGTGAAAATTATTGAATAATTCTTGCTACGAAAATACGAAAGATTGTTTTTTTTTATTGCACGTAACGTAATGCAACAAGTATTCCACGCAAAGTACTATTTCGAAGAAAAAAAATGGAACGTCTCATTTAAAAGCTAGCGTTTATTACGAGATTGCAACCGATGCAAGCGGACGTTTAAATCTTAAAAAAAAAAAATCTACGACTCCGAAGTTCGTAACTCTTGAATATGACAATTTTACAGAAAGCAGTGCGTAAAGCAACGAGCAACGATCCATGGGGACCAAGCAGTACCCTCATGGCCGAGATCGCCGATCTGACGTACAACGTTGTCGCCTTCACCGAGATAATGCAAATGCTGTGGAAACGATTGAACGATCACGGCAAGAATTGGCGTCACGTTTACAAGGCGCTCGTACTGCTCGAGTATCTCATCAAGACTGGCAGCGAGAAAGTTGCCCAGCAGTGCAAGGAGAATATTTTCGCTATTCACACCCTCAAAGGTTTTTTTTCTTTTCTATACGTGTGAGGCGTTAACGGTGGTTTATAACGGGATGGAATACGACGGTACTAAAATCTAAAAAATATATCTTTCATTCCTACTGTTAACTGACAGGGCTTATCATTTGAAATGCTGACCGAATTGTTCGTCTATTGTATGGAAATATCATCAATTGGTTCATGCTCACGCGAATCGACAAGTTTATTTGTATTTTTTCCTCGATAGATTTCCAATACGTGGAGGGTCACAAGGATCAGGGTATAAATGTGCGTGAGAAAGCGAAGCAGCTTGTGGCCTTATTGCGCGATGACGAAAGACTGAGGAACGAAAGGGCAAGAGCACTCAAAGCCAAGGAGAGATTCGCTCAATCGCTCAGTGGTTTTGGTAGTGATGGCCTTGATACGGTGTCGCCTGGCAGTGGTGATGTAAGTTTATTATATTTCGACATTTTTCATTGCTCACGGAGTTAATGGTTAAGATTATAATCTGGTGTATCTAACTTTTGTTTTTTCTGATTGAGTATTTTTTTATGTATCACTAGATATATTTAATTATATTTTAGTGTAATCAATTAAAAAATTTTATACATTATAAACAATAAAAAACAACACTAAACCATTATTGTAACCTTTCATTCTCTATATTTGTAGTTCCAAGAGTGGGAGCCGTGTCACATGTCGGAGTCTTCATCACGGCGTAAGTATATTTTAATCTCTAAAATTAACCTTTGGCATGGACTTATAAATATTCTTTTCGACAACTTTCGTGATAAAAAAAATCATGTATGTACATTGTGAAGCGGATTTGGAAGCAGCAAGACCACAAACTGTCGGTGAGGAAGAGCTTCAACTACAACTTGCGTTAGCGATGTCGCGCGAGGAAGCCGAGCAAGAGGAACAGCGTCGGCGCAGCGACGACGTCAGGCTTCAACTGGCTCTCAGCCAGAGCCAACAAGATTTCAAGTTAGTATTTGTAAAGTATCTTGCTCGATCGAGTGGTCGTCTGGTTGTTTGTTTTGTTATCCAACTTGTGCTATGGATTGGGAGTTTGAAGAGTTTTTTGCTCAACGTGATCAAAATGCGAATATTGAGTTTCGAAGTTTCCAAGTTTCCAAAGGGTATATTGCTTTATTGATAAGTTTGATAGATTTGCGTTGTGTGAAAATGACACTGATAAGCTATACGCATCATCTATAAATGAATTATTGTTGCAAGATGTAATAAGAATATTGATGTATTTTTTTATTGTTTGAAAATTTAGAAATTGCTTTTACTTATCAAATTTATGGTTTTACATATTTGCTATTATTTTTTTGTCACTTTTCTGAGGTTATAACAATAAGAAAAAGTAAGAATTATCAAAATAGAAATATTTAGACAACTTAATAAATTTTTTATCGATAGATTCAATTTTCCGCCGACGTCAAAAATAAGTTTTTTCATGTTTTTTGAAATTGGTTTAGATAATGAGTTAACAATTTTTTCTTTAAATTACAGAACGCCTGTAGAAAAGCAAAGTCACATGCTTGACTTGCTCGACGTGAATTTGGGGGAACCGAGTGCAACTAACGCTCAGACTGATCCATGGGGAGTGCCGATAGCTGCGCCACCGCCTCCTCGACCTCAGGTATAAAGAAAATTACTCTTCCGCTTATTTTAATTTTTACTATTTCTGAGACTTTATAATTATATATCGCATATGAAACATAATTGATGCATGGGTTATCACGGCAGTCGCTGGACTTTTCTCTGTATCGCATGTCGAAGGTATGTGTCATAGGCTGGTGACATATCGACGATCCCGTATAAAAAGTGTCTTTTGAGTTTTATTGATTGGTTGATTTGAGCAGCGTATATTGATTTTCAAAATTAGAGTTGACTTGTAAGAAAAACATTTAATTAGGTTGGAATTTCGCCGTAGCTACTAAGTAACTCATCGATATTTATCGTTGAAAATTCACTGGTCATCTTTACTATCTTATAAGCTTTTCTTTTTGTGTTGGCACTTCGTTTGACACAACTCATCGTCCGTTCCTCAAATGCCATTTCCGCATATTGTGCAATACATATATACACGTATACATCTCTCAATTGTTATAAATACATGTATGAGAATTCGAATGCTTAATTTACATAATACTTGGTGCAGCGTAGCGAAATGATAAAAAAAATTATTAAAATTTTTTCAGACTCAAAATGATCCTTGGTCTGTTCCAACAACTAGTAGCGCTGCCAGTTCAACAATCGATCCATGGGCTCCAGTTTTACCTCAGAGGCCAAGTAAATATTCTTTCTAATATTTTGAAATTTTTTCGTTTGGTACTTTTTTTCTCATGTACTCTTTTTTTTTTATATGGATTAACACGTTGTGTATCTTTTATATGCTTACCACGTTTATCTTTGGCTAACAGGATCTCCAGGTAAATTGACAATCCTTTACTAACAAAAATTATCAATTTTTTATCCTATTTTTATGTTCCTTGATGCAGCACTACCGTCTTAATTTTTATTGGAAAGCGATTCTTGCTTTTTATTTTATTTTATTTTTCAATTATTAATAGAGTGACAATTTCCAGCTGCCACTGTTGATCCATGGAGAGCTCCAGCACCTTCGCCTGCCACCGTTATTCCTGCAACAAATCGCGTCATTGATCCTTGGGCTCCTCCTGGCGCTTCTAATGCTGATACTAAGGTAAATTTTTGAAAGTTACTGTAACATAATATATACACAAGTACCTACGTTTACGGATAATTTATAGACTCCGCCTATTGGATTTACGGTGTCGTCTACAACTACTAATTTCAATTCCACGAGCAATGGCTTCAATGGCCTAGGATCATTCAGTAATACATCATCAAATCAAGGAAACAACAGTCCTTTGAATGATTTAGATGAATTCGATATCATTAGCAATAGAAATAAAGTCGGAACTAGTCCACAGCCTATTTTGAACAATGGTAAGTGGAAATAAAGTTTGACTCGTGGCTATATTAAGCACGTCCATTATTAAAATAATATATTTTTTATGCAGGAAATACCACATCTCCGGATCCGTTCGACTTACGAGGCCTTGGTGAAACAATACCGCCTAGTACTGGTGCTGTAAAAAAGACTCCGCAATCATTTTTGGGTGAAAACTCTGCCCTCGTCAACCTAGACAATCTTGTGAGTGCATCATCGATAAAGAATCCGGCTCCAGCACCAGGTATTTATCATATTTCTATTTTACATATACTATTGTATACTACTAACATTTTGAGTTTGAGTTATAAACTCTGACAGAAAGTTAAAAAATATTTTTAACGGGATTGATTTTTGAACAAAACTCAAATTTCGTAACGTTTATTCTATGCCTGCGACGCAGTGTTTCATTGGAAGTAACTTTTGTGAGTATGAGAAAAAACATTTAAAAAATCAGTGAAAAGTATTGCATGGTGGCATGGAACAATACACTGTCATTAGTAGAATTTTTTGTCAAAATTTGTAGTTTTAAGAGATATATTTTCCTTAAAATACGAGTTTTTATCTTTTGCAGCTACTCTATACCTTAAATTTTTTGTGCATGTAGTTGAAGTTTTTTTCTTGCCTTATTTTTTGCCTTTTTTATGTGAATGCAAAATAGTAGTTCTGTTAAATTGTGCAGTTGGAACTGAAAACACTCGACTTTGGAATAATTTTTTGTTTAACTTCTAGTCTTTTAATATTATTTTTCACCAATAATAATTCATTCTTTGGGAGGATGTTTCATGCATCAATGTACTTTTTGTATGAAATCAACATAATTTTTAGATTTTCTAATATTCAATCTAGACCTCGAACGATAATTTACTGAAGAAAGGCTCAATTAATAAGTAAATCGAATTCCAACTGCAATGATAATACGAAAAACGTTCATTGTTGTGAATACACGTTTGAACAGTGCGAAAACATATGTTACATTGATGATAAATGAGTAGATGTAAAGATTCTGCATTGAAGGGGTTTGAAATTATCGAGAGATTAGTAAATACTTTAATACTTATTAATTATAAGTATTTTCTACTTTGTCCACGAATACAATAAAAAAATTGATGATGAGTCACATTTCGTTTGTATTTCAATAACATGATACTCTAATATTTACTCTCTATTATTAAATTTTTAATTGATGACTGTTAATAGACTCCAAAGCGTACTATACCCCTTCAAATACAGAACAATCAATGGAAAAAACTGTTTATATTTCAATAGTGTCACCAATCCAATTTAATCGATTAATCTGTTGAAAATATTTTCAGTGCCTGCATACACGGCGAACCCATTTGCGCCAGTTATGCCACCACCTCGTCCGTCGATCAATCAGATTCGTCAGGATCCATGGGTTGCTGCTCCCATAAACAACAATGCCACATCGCCAACGGCTAACCCGTTCCTCTCGTAGCTGAGCTACGCAGCAGCTGAGATAATTTTCTACTCTTGTTCGAGGAGCCAATTCTAAATTGATTTTTTACTAGCGACATTGCGTGTATACAAGGATCACCTAAGAACAAATGGCAAATTTTCAAAGCAAAAACAACATTAACAAAAAGAAACAATTATAATTAATATAACTATTTCTTTCTTTGCAATAAGTTTCGCGACGGTGGGAGAGGGGACACGTGTTTAAAGAACATCGTAGGGGGATGTAAATAAGAATCACTATTCCTTTTTATTTAGCAACGTTTTACTTTATACACTACCGAATCATTGTATTCTATTATTTTTAATCTCATTACAAGATCTATACTTTAAATCAATTAAAAATAAAAGCATCACGTACATGTTTTTGGTTATTTTGTTTGCTTCTAGATTTTTTTTCTTTTGAAAATGCAAGATATTTGAAATTGTACATAAATTATTTTTGCATAAGTCTTCACTGACTAAATAATCAGTAATGAATAAATACAAATTTTCTCGACTAATATGATAATGCACTAAATTCATAAGAAAAACATTTTTCAAGTATTGTTTTACGCGTACGCTTTGATTGAAAACAAATAAATTTTTTTTTAATTTTAAATTAACGACAAAATAATTTAATAGATAAAATACATTCGAAAAAAATTACTAAAATTGTAAAATTGTAACTACTACAATTAAGTACGTAAGAAAGCGCATTCTTATGAATTAATTATGATAAAAATACTTACGAAAACTTTTTTCCATCCGTATTGTTTCAACTGTACAAATTTTATGAAACGAAAACTTATACACAACATTGCATTGAGAATAATCAAATTTTGTTTGAAACTGCAAAAATATAAATTCCTATAATGAAATCGAAAACAATCTAATAATGAACAATTCCAGGAAATAATTGTAGTAAATATGAATAATTTACTGTAAATTAGCCTTATTCAGTCCTTTAGTCTATGATTATGTAATATGAAAGATAATAATTTTTTGATGTTCGTCTTGTCTTGAGCTTGATCAAAATAATATCAGATTGTATCAAGTCAGATGGAAGTTATGTTGAGTAAATTTATGTTAGTTAATTGTATGAAATAATGAATAGAATGGATAATCTATTCATTTATGAATGTATTCAACTTTCTTTTGATTTAATTTATATGCTGAATTAAACTTGAAATATTTTATTAAAAAATTTTTTTCAATCACGCCAAATTTTATCCTGTATTCTATATGTATAGGAAATTACTCTAAACTCATACTTTAATACGAGATATTAGAAATATGATTGGGGTTTTTTTGTACAATATGTTCTCCACTTAATTTGTCAAAGGTTACTAATAGATTTATTTAAATGTTTTGAAACATTTTCCATAATTTTTTAAGTAGCCAATTCAACTTGTTTTTGATGACTACGTAAATCAATATCAATAGTTTCCCGTTTCTTTCATAAAAGTACTTGGCATTACGTATTTTTTGATGATTTACTAATTTTACTTAAAGGTATAGAATGATAAAAAATATTTACATATACATTTACATAGAATTATTCATATCTTATTCTATAGTTTTTTCATTGAACTGTCTATAAGCTGCAAATCGGTTAGATCTAATGTTATTTAAGATTAACTAGAAAAAATTAATCAGATAAGAGCTGATTCGAATATGGAAGAAACCGCTTCTAAATAAAACGAATATTTAGATCAGCATGGATTTAGCATTATTAGGGTGATAATGTATTTGGTGATCATCCTAATTGATTGCAAATATTCAATGTGTCTTCAGGTTAGTGATCAATTGAATGCTCTTAATACTGATGTATGTTTTGTTTTTATTACCATTTCATTGTGTTATTATATTTTGAAAAGATATAACTCGAAGACATAGACGCCAGGCTTCCATCTTTCCTTTTTCCGCCTATGCAGTGACCCGGTGAAAATTCGCACAAAATTACACTGATTTTGCACGAGCTGTAATTGTAGACGCGTGATACAATAAGATTAATTATGGTACCAGTACGTCGTGCAAAAGGAATCATTATATTTATTGTTGGTGCGGAGAAAAGATTGTATAGTACCGATCCTGGTTGCTCGACGGCATTTCGAACAGTAAAAAAAGGCAAAAAAAGGCTCCGCACTAAATAATAAAGATAATAAAGACTATTATCACTTGCCGTGATGCTGGCTGTGGTCAATGCAAATATTCAAGTGAAAAGACGAAGTGCATTGGAGATCGATCCTCTCGCAGTCGTGTCTGGCGCTAGAGTGACGGTAAGGGTGACTTGAGGCTCGCTCGCTTACTGTCCTATTAGCCAGGGAGGATCATCCCCTCTTCAATCACCGCGCCATTAAGCTTTCCACGCCCTTCCTTTACCCCATCTCTATCATTTGTAAATATATCAGCGTAAATTGTATAAACAGTTTCGATGTAAAAATTAATAGATTAATTATACAAACACCCCCCTCCCGCCACTAATAAACTACCAATTTCACGTTGTTGATAATAATGTATCTTTTATCGTCGTCGTAATTTCATTGGTTTTCCATTTCCACGGTAATTTTTATGTTCACAGAGGTAGCAAGAGAGGGGTAGAGAGCGGTAAAGAAAAGGAGTGAGAGGTAGTGAGGGGTAGAAAGAGAGAGAAAGAGGGTAAATGAGTTTTTCGGGTTGGAGAGGGCGCATGTTAGATATGGAGGATTGGGCCGGCACGCATTGACAAATTCACTCTTGGACAAAAGTTATGTTTGCTTTCAGGGCGGCTAGATCAGGCGCAGCCAACTTACTATAATAAACAATCGAATTATCTTTTATCACCACGGTAGATGTCTGACGGCCGATGTCCGAGTCTATCGGTTAGCTTGCCGATGAGCATTTGCAAATATTCACAAATAATCATATTTGAATTCAAGAAACAACAATGCAACTACGCGTAAAAAAGATATGCGAGATCTTACATGTAAAGCAAGTAGAAAGATATGATATCTGCAAGAATTTTACCAGATACAAAAAGTTGTACTGTAAATAAATGTTAATGAAATGTCCAAATGTTCAGGGAGAATTTGGAGATGAAACAGGAAATAACCATAAACAGGGCCATTATATATTTCTTAATTATTTATTTTCTCTACTGCATTATTAAAATATTAAAAAATGTATCGTTGACGTACAGATGTTTTTATTAATTTTTTGTCAAGCGTGCAATATTTAACGCGGTTAATTAAAACAATAAGTAGAGATTACCGCAAAATATATCGATGATTTCTTATAAGAATACACACATTCATCAAATATGTTATTGCAAATGATCAACGTAAGTAAATACATATTTTTTCTCCACCATCAATTTTTTTGAAAATACTTACAGTCTAAAAGTATATTACACGCTAAGTAAATAAAACTATTGACTAATGATAACTGTACAAACGATTGCCTAAGCTCTTATAAGATAATTATTTCTGTATTTATTTATATAAACGAGATTATATATGTTTCAGAAAAAAAATTCAATAAATTTGAATACTTAAAAAAATTTTTGACACTGCCTATATTGCTATACAATTTAAATTCTTTATGCAGTCTTAATATGGTTTACATAGAACTATAATAATGAACTAATGAATTCTACAAAAATCTTCCAATAATTTTAAAAATTCAAAGCAATTTTTTAAAATTACATATAACAATTTTGATATTCATTTTTCAATATATTTCACTATAAAATATCATATAAGTGTAAAACTTTATAAAAGTATTGAAATACTATCAAAACATTCATCATTACTATTACTTTGATTGGTCCAGTAAAGACATTATATTTATAAAACTTTTTTTGAACTTTGATGCTTTCTAGAATAGATTTCTGCTTAACAAGAATTAAAAAATTTTTTTATAAAAAAAAAAGTAAATTTTTAGATGATACTTATTTTGAACAACTGAAAGATATCTTGTTCAGGATCTTTAGCAATAACCTAACAATACATCAAAATAATAAAATCATTTTTATTCTCCAAATCTCAAAGAGAAGCATCTGTTGAAGAATTGGCTGGTGCACCTGGAAGAAAGTAATCTCGTACTTGTGCATGTAACTTTGCTACGTCTGAATCTTCTTTCTCTAAAGACCTGATGAATTGTGCAAACTGTACAGCACCTGACAAACATTTATATGTATTAAAATTCAAACAGCAATTATAAATGTATAAATTATTAATAACAATATGAAATAATTTAAAGAAAGTATTAAACTACTTGAGTTAAAATTTGAGTTAGAGATTTGTATGCCTCAAATAACAATTACCTTCTCTTCCATCGGGAAATCCATATTTTTTAATAACTTCGGTTTGTATTTGCATGACAGTTGGAAAAACGAATTGCATTGTTTTGAGCATTTCATTTCCTGAATTGTTTTTTGCCGCAGCGAGTTTTAGTGCGTTCTCCGGTGCTTCAAGGGCGGTTAAAACGTCTGCTAATGCGGCTGAAATAAACTATAACTTGTGAGTAATTTTATTCTAATATAAAATATAAAATAATATAAAAATTTAAGTACCTTTTGCTGCTTCGGCTGTAAAATTGATCGTGGTTGACATTTTTTAGTGTTTAAATTGTAGATCAACAGTACAAATGACAGTTGTTCTTAACAGTAAGATCTGATAAACGATATATTTAATAATTAGTATAGCTTGTAAAAACTGCTTTATTTATTGATAAATTACAAAATACTGCTGTTTCTTTAAAATTAACCTAAAATGTATGACAGATCTTTCTCGGTGTCAGTTATAAATACACGTATATACATACATACATATATATATATTCTTGAATGCACACAAATGACAATTGACATACAAGATTTCAAAAGGCGCTAAATTTAACTTCAAAACTCCTAGAAATCTAATTTCGTATTGATTTAAATTATTATTATTTCTAGAAGCTCTGTATTATTTTGTATCAAATTTATAAAATAAAAAACTAGTAGTCTAGATATTCAAAAACTCGTAGTTTTGAAATAAATAAGCAGAAATTCGAAATTATAACAACAATCATAACTATTTATTATATAGAAACGTAATTTAACTTATAAGTGACTTTGTGAACATATTCATTCAGACTTTTTTTCTTCTGTTTTCATAACTTCCACGATTTTTTCCATACTCAATCTAATTGGTCTATATTTTTCCTTCTCTTTTGGAGTCAATTCATTTTCGTTGCGCATATTATCCTTTGCTTTCTTTTCTCCACTTTCACCACCCTGATCCATCACCTGTTGAAGCAATCGATCAGTATCTATATTACTTCTTGGTTTTTTAGTAGACCGATCTTCATCAGCTCTAGTTTCTCTTTGAGAATGTTCTGCATTGAATTTGGACAAAAATTCTTCTATTGCTCTCTCGTACAATTCAGTTTCAATACCACTCTGTTAAAATAAATAACAACATTTGGTCAACAACTCATAATTGATTATTTTCTGCAATCTTATAAATACCTTTTGTAGATTTTTGCAAATTATGAGAAATTGTTCAGTTTTTGAAACTGCATTGTTATCTGCCAAATTCACAAAAGAAAAGTGTTTGTATTCCTTATGGAACCTCCTGCAAAGTGTACATACTGTTTAGATATTTATTGCATAAATAAAATCAGAGCATTAAATCAATCTTACGCTCTTAAATTATCTTCTGGATAAAATATTTCTCTAATTGGGATTTTGGAAAAAGGTCTATCATATCGTGGTTCATACTTTGGTGGGAAGGCTTTGTATATATCTACCCATAAGGGTTTTGTCTCCTCTTTCATTGCACCAGCTTTAATAAGTGAAGTCACCCTAAGTTAAAATAAAAGTCTTATAATAATTCAAAATCTACTAAACGTTAATAATTCAATAAATGAGTGTGGCAACTTCTTACCTCTCATAGATTGTTCCAATTTTCTCCAATCTACTCTGTGCCATTTTGATAGATGTACTTTACAAAATTACAGGTATATTAGAAAATCCAAATTTTCATTAAGACATCATATTAATAATAATAGGTAAAAATTTGCAAATAAAAAACCTGCTAATCGTCTGTGTTACAAGTCTGAGGTTATGTTATAAATAACGTGTGTGTGAACATAAGGTGTGTTCATTATTATACTTCGCGGCATCATATTTTGGCGCCGATCAGTCACATACATTAGTTAATTTAAATTTTATTATAACGGTTATTTCTTTGGAAAATGCCACTGATGGATATAAGACAAATTGATACTAATTTTCTGATATTTGTAATGATGCAAAACAACAGTATAAGTATCTATGAGACGTATAGTAAAGCATATATTGAAAAAAAAAATTTAAGTACAAATAAACGATCTCATTCAAATTTTTTTTAAAATGTTGTAATTCGTATTATACATGTAACTGATTCTTTTTTTAGGAACATCAGTGTATATTTACTTTAAATGGAAGATATTAATTTATAAATTTATTTATAGTAATTTATAAATATATAAATTTGTCAAAAAACCTTTCAATAATATATTTGCGTAATTAAAATGTTATGATCTAGATTAAATGTAACGTAGTTTAGAAAAATTAGTGCATTCATATGAAAGTATCCATCTGTTACAAATGATATAACTATGAGATTAATAATTTTAGTAAATGTATAAGACTAAACATCGTAGGAATATTCCTATATAGTATTTTACAAAATAAAAATTTTAATTAATCGAGCTTAAAATATTTCTTTATTGTAATTGTACCATTTGGTAGTCTCGAAACAATCTGTGTTGTAATTAAAAAAAATATTCGCGCGAGATATCTCGGAATATCAAGGAAACAATAACATTGACGCGTTTATCAATGCTATGTGACGTAAAATTAAAAATAAGTTATAAACAACGAAACGCAGTTAATTAAACTTTTCGGCTGTTGACTTTGTTTGGAGCTAGGCAAGCAGCGATTTATATCACGCGTCGATTGATTGGCTCGAGGCCAAGTAAAACACAATGCATCATGCACGCGCTCGAGGCGATCCACAGGTGCGGACTGTATATATGCGCTCAAGCTACAGCCTAGTCGACCCCCTACGTGCGCGAAAACTGCATTTTCGACTGGCTGCCTTTTGTTGTCGATCAACAGATGTTTCACCGCGTGGCTATATGAGTTTGGTTTTGAAAAAAACAGGGAATTTTTTTGGGTTATTGTTTCAGTGAATACAGCATGTAGGGAATGAATCATTAACGGCTCTCAATTAGCCATAATTCATTTTTATTTGATGGTATTATACTCTTTAAATTTACCGTTGATATCATAAATAATAAAAATTTATTTCATTTGATTTTTATAATTCAAACTGAAATCATTATCGTAATTTTCGGGTTCTTAAAACGCATTGTTTAAAAAAAATATATGAAAAAAATTCTTAAATCATTGTTTTCTCTAAAATAACAGTGTTGTATTATCATCCTCCGCGAATATGTTTTTAATCCTATGAAAAGAATCCGACTTATCGCCTGCTTCATTGATAAAGTTGAATGCATTTCGGCAAATATAATCTTTTTTTTCACCTAAGTCTCTTTCATGCATTCGGAACTACAAGAAAACTCCAAATTCCAGGAACAATCAACATCAAGCTTCACAACAGATCCCTAAAATGTAGTAAAAATCTGGGCAGATAGAAAAGTCGATCTATAAAAATACATCGGATAATTTACGAGAGAAACGCGGTGCTCGCACGTTAGGCATGTGGTCGGCTTTTCTCTTTGTTGCGGGCTTTTCTCACACGCGCATTTTCCTCGGGTTGCCGGCGCATTTCTTCCGGCATCGCCACTCAAAACGCGCACTGAAAAAGGCGTGATGACATATCATCAAAGCAGGTGTGTGTTTTCCTTCGACAAAGAACTCCCTTTCGCCCGAGATTTTCACACTTCGATAAGTGATGGTTTAGATGATTTAACGTCATTATCTTCGTAAAAATGCATTTCCATTTTTTATGATTACGCGGATTTAGAAGCATTCAAAATCACGATGACGAGCTAGAAAAATAAACATTTTAATCCATACATTTTTGAATCTGCCGAAATTCAATCTTTTATCATTTTTCAACTTTGTAACGTTCATCGACGATGCCGGCTTACATATGAATTTTAATTCACGGAATCTCGATGAAAATGCGCGGCAGTTGGCTCTGAAAGCGATGATTATTTTCATTGGAAATCTTCTATTGTTGCTATTTTATTTCACGGTTCAAACAAATTATAGAAACAGGTAAAAAAAATGAAAATGTCGATTAAAACAAGGCTAAAAAGGTTGCCAAGTAAAAAAAGGACTACCGCGCCTCGAGAAAGTTCGACAAATCGTGCCTGTGTTTTTACTAGCTCGACCGGACAACCGACCCATCAAAAAAAACCACATATTACAAACCACAGAGCTTCCCCTTCCTCTCGATAACCGCGAGGAATCACCTCTGCCAATGGAATAAAAGCACGTAAAGTCAGGCAGGTAATCAAGTTTGACAATGATTAAACCGCGGATGCGTTCGGCGACAAATTCGTCGGTCCCGCGCGCACAAGTCCCTTAATATTAGAGTATCCGATGTTCCGCGCCAGAATCCGACACCGCGAAACTTGAAATTGCTCTCTTTCTCTCTCTCTTCTCCCGCGCAGCCCTCGTTCACTTATCGAATTACTCACGGCTCGCGGGTGCGGCATTGTGCCCACATATTATATGCATATGCCAGTGATGGAAATCCTTCATAACCGTCCGACGCGCGCTTAGCGCAATTTCTTCGTCTTTTTTTTTTATGTTCGCGTCGGCCTGCATGTAGGCGCGTTCCGCTATGTTCGCGGTGACGACCATTGTGTCGTGGTGGCTGTCTCGCGCGCCGACAAAGTCGCCAGCCCGACGCTGCGGGAACGCCCGACGCGCTCTGCTCCCGAGCTCGGTCAATCCTCTCCTTTGCCCCGGACTAATCGGAGCCCCTCGCGTAGCCGCGGACAACCCGTGTGCGGAATCGCGAACGGCAAGATGGCCCAAGCTGCGCGCGCGCGCGCGACGACGACGAACTACGACCGAGCCTCTCTCTGGAGAACCTTGACTTCCCGATCTCGCACGCCGACGCGCACTCCAGCCGTGGATCGCTTTCTCGATCGAGCTAAGTCTGCTTGCAACGAGGACGCGCTGGACAGTTTTCGCGATGCGCGTCTAAATGACGCCATCCCGTCGCATACATTGCCAGATCGATCGAGTCGCTAGCGATCGGGTGTTTCGTCGTAATTGCAGCTCATTGGCAAGGAGGAACGCGCGACTGTCCGCAAAGTTCGGAGGTACATTGCCGCGAAGGGAAAATGTTGCTGGCGTGCGCGCGTGTACTGGATTCGCAATTTTGTCCGGCGGATCGATATGGCACACTCGAGCCTCTCCGCCTCGCGCGGACCGCAGCCGTTCGCCGAGTACCGCGCGTGGATCGGGCGATCGCCGCGCGCCGGCGAAGGGGCTGCTGTTCGCCGGCGCGCGGCAACGAGGCCGTCGAGCGCGGCGCGCCGCGGGAACGCGCGCGAGGGCACGAATGGGCGAGCTTGGCTCCGCCCCCGCTGCCGCGGCGCCGCTGCTCTCCCGCGGGGGCCTTCCTTCCTTTCCGGCCGCGTCAGTCAGTTCGCCAGCGAGCGCTCACGGGGCAACGTCTCGACCGTCGTCGCGGCCTCTGCGTGCGACCACCACTGCCCTGCCGTTGCGGCGGCGAGAAGCGATGTCGCGAGACGGAGCGTCGGGCGCGCGCCGCAGTTAGAGCGCACGAGGCAGAGCGCAAGATCGCAGTCGCAGGCCAAGGAGGCCCCGCTCGCAAGCCAGCCCCCCCTCCCCTCGCGGAACAGGCGCCGAATAGGGACGGACAGCGGCCGCGGAGCGACGACGATGCGCTCGGCAAGGGTCGACCTGCTCGCGGCGCCGCTGCTGCTGCTGCTGCCGCTGCTCATCGTCGGCGCACGGGCGAATTGGTGGTGAGTCGCACGTCTGCCGCTTTCGGAGTGTTCGCTCTTCGTTCGATATGCCCGTTTGCTTGCGCGCGACAAAGCTGCGAAACACCAGCTTGAGCAAAATCAAATTACGGCGCATTGAGCGTGGATTTTCCTGCGAGGCTAATTGTATTGGATCACGGATCAGTTTCACTGCGATAATCACGTTTTTTCTTTTGACGAAAAAATAAATCACAGTTTGAACGCGCCAAACTAGTTCTGGTTTCCGAAATCCATTTGGCTGAAAACCACCGGGTATTAATGTGATTTTTAATTTCCGCGAAACGCGATCTGATGTGATAACGGGGTATTATATTCAAATGAGACTTTGAACTTTCCTCTCGTGAGTTCCTGAAAGCTTTTTATGGTCGTCTTTTTTTCATCCGATACACGAGAGGATAATATCGTCTTTTTTCATCCTCCAGACCGATAACCTCGATCTCGTTCCTGTGTATAACTTGTCGAAGCTTTCGGAATGTTTCTCATTTTCCATCCGCGCGCTCGCCTTTTCAAAGTACATTTTAAATAATATACAATTACACGCCAACAGTGGCACAAGACTTACACATCCTCCGCGGGCGAGTGGCGCGCGCGCGACTTACTCTCACCTGCAGCGTCGAATTTGAGCGAGCGATCGATCGCGAATCGAAAACGACGCCCGCTGGTTTCGTCGACGGACTGCCGGTCGCCGCGCGCGGGGGAGAATAAAGCCGAGCGCCGCGGCGCTTTTCCGCGTTACGACAGGAGCGCACGAGGGAGAGCCGATTTTATTCCCGACGAGAACTTGGTTCCCCTCCGCGCGCGACGCCACGCCACGTCTCCGATTGATCGCGACGCGCGTTTCCGCGGGTTCGAAACGAGACGACGAGATTTCGCGCCGTCGAGTGTTTTTCGTTGCGTTCTCGTTCAAAATTCTAGGCGTCTTTTGAAGTCCGAAAATAAGCGACGATAAGCAAAAAGAAAGAAGCAAAATCTCAAAAACGACTCAACGTCGGTAGTTCTGTGTAGTAACGTCTTTTAATATGCTCGAGTGCATAAACAAGTTTTATACCAACCTGTATATGTATATTTGAAGAAATTCGTTGATAGAGTACGTCACTGACAGCGCCTTCGTTGTATATATATATATATATATATATATATTGCGAACGTTGCAACGGCACAGCTTCAAATGCTTTTCTAAATATCACTCGCGTGTGCGTCGAGCCGAATTGGGTTAATAGGATCTTGATAAATTGCCCGCAGCTAAATTGTCGAGAGGGACTTTGGTAAACATGTACGCGCTCCATAAATTTTGCCGCCGAGTAGTCTTCCTTGCTGTTATGTATAGAGCCACGTATATACGTCGTGTGCGTGGAAATTATTTGATGTAATTAAGAGCTACTGCATAGTTGTTCGTTTAATTCTTTTTTACATGCAAATAAATTTGTCTAATGCTCAATTTATTTTTCGTCTTAGATTTTAATAACTTCAGCACCACCGTATATTACTCATTAGTTGATTGTGAATTTTATGTTCAATTTCATATTCAAACAGCTGCAGAGTACGATGTATTAGAACTCTTTTCACCTGTTGAAAATTTGCAGATCGCTACTAAAAAATAAATAAATTTTTAAATTAAAAAGAAAATTTGAGCGTCGCCCTGAATATATTGAATTTAGCGAATGCCAGTAGTAAATGAAAAATATTTTCTGTATTATCCACGATAATGAGTGTAATACGATGTAACCCCAAAAATCTGATATTTTCATATTCTGAATAATAATAATATCACGAACTGGGCGTTTATAACGTATTGAACAATCTTTCTTTTCTCTCGTGAAACTCAAAAGAATGCCAAAAAATTCGAGCGCAATGCACTCTTATAAGGTATGCGCACGGAGTCCGGGAAAAGAAAGGAATTTCAATTCGAGGCACTGGAAGGGTGAACTGAAGCCCCGCACACATACACACGCGTAGATAGATACAGTGGCGAGCGCGCGGATCGAGATAATTAAAAAGATAGCGCCTCGTTTTCGTCAACCGCGCGAGATGCGCCGACGACGACCCCCCCCTTTCTCTTGAGTAATTAATGCAATGACACCGCGGCGATTCAGATAGCAAAGGATTGTCGTTTTGCACGCGGAAGGAAGCGCTCAACGCTGTGGGATTGTAACGGGACTTTTTCTTTTTTTTTTTTTTTCTTCTTTTTTGTTTACCACGGTTGCGGTTTGTTCAGCTTTGCACATACTCCTTTTCCTCTTCCAAACGTGTGTATTATTTTTGAAAAATGTTTGGATTTTCGAAAGGATTTTATTGCATTATTTTTCCGAACGAAATATGGATCTTTCTTTCCGTCTTGAAAAATAGTTTGCTAACCACTTGTGCGGCCACGAATAGTCTGCGATAGCCTAGCCCGAGGCAAGAAGTGCCCGGATGAAATAGCAATTGGTCTTCGGTCGCTAAAATCGTTCATCGGAGAAAATTTGCCGACCGGAAACCTCAACTTTTTTTTTCAAAGACTCGAGTGTAGATTTCAATTTGTCGATCAAACTTGAATAGCCGTTGACTTTTTCATGATTGATGTTACGGTATTACTCAAATGATAATGCATCGTCTGTCGTCGCAAGAACATTTACAATGACAACAGCACTCGAGTCTCCAAGGAGTGGCGAATTTTTCAACAATCTATTCTATCGAGCCTGTCGGCAAGGTTCGCGTATTGCCGTGGCCGCAATACACTCCACCGAGAACGCAGCGCTTGCGTATACGCTCACCTCGCAAGAATCGTTCGCCGCATCGCCGATAAGTCCATTAGCTGCGTCCGCGCCCTTCACGAAAAACGTAAACAACGCGTACGGCCGGCGCCCGTAAAAGGGAGCTTTGATAAGCCCGTTTATTAACCCATAGCGCGCGCATTAACCCGACGGCGACTTTTGCCAAGCCGATTACGAGTCGCATTAGCGTTTTTCCGTTTGCGTTTTTCGCGTTTTCACCCGGTGAATGTTTAAATGCCCCCCTCCCCCGCCCCGCCGAAAAAGCTTCCGAATTAATATTTTACGAATACGTCGCTGGCTTTCAGTGCCGAAGCTTAATACTTCTTGTATTGGTGTTCAAAGGGAATGCTTCAGTTGACGGATTACGACTGCGGTCGATGGACGGTGGGGGGGGGGGGGGGGGGGGGGGGGGCAAACATCTTTTAAAACGGACTTGATGTGAAAATTGGTAGAATTGCAATTTACGAGTACGATAAATTTTGTTGGTTAAACGGCCGTGATTTAGGAACGATTGCTTGTGTTTATTGTTTCGAACCGAAGCAGCTTGGACACGCAGAGGATCGGGACAGCAAATAAAAATTTGTCTCTGTGAAGTCGACGCGTCCTCGTGAGTTCGCAATTATTCGCGTGCTCGTGAATTTAAATTTAAAAATCCAGCGTACCGAGCTCAATAACCAAGCCAGACACCGCAAAAGGGAAACGTCGAACGATCGACGTTCCACACCTACTGATCAATGTAAAAAAGTCGGGAGTCAAATAATCGCAGCGCACGGTGATATTTCACTCGGCATATTGAGCGTTCCACGCGCTCCCTTCGCCTCTTTTATGCCGCACGATAAATTCGCACGTCGCTGAAGACGTCGTCGGCACAATTGTAAGATGCGGAGTACCGCAACGGCGAGGCCGTAGATCACGTTAAATGGCCAGCGCACGGGATGCGTCACCGTGGAAAAAGAAGCAAAAGAAAAAAAAAAGAAAGAAAGAAAAAGAGAGAACGAAGCTCGTTCTCTTTGAACCGCGGATGTAAACATTTAACATATGTCGAGGTCCGAGATCGCCGAAGCGGCCGCGTGATTTGCTAGCAAGCTCGGTCAACGTTCATTCTGCTGCGCGCACGTCGGCAGCGACGGCGAGGCCGGGAATAAGATTCAGATTTGGCGCGCTTAGGCCTCGCGCGCGCAAGCACCTCTTTCGGGCTCGCTCGCCGCTGGCGCCGCGCGATCGGGACGAGCCGCGACTGTCCAGCCCAGCCACCCAGATAATCTAAATTTTCGCCGGAACTCCGCGACGGGGTAAACGAGCTTCGGAACGGTGGCATCATTAAAAGGCTACGCGCAGCCAATCGATATCGCCCTAGCGTCTAGTAGCGTAAAGAGAAAGAGAGAGAGAGAGAGAGAGAGAGAGAGAGAGAGAGAGAAGTAACGTACCGCAGCTGCCTCAAATTTTTATTATCCCCCTATCGTAAAAGTGTGATAGCCTATAAGACCTTTTATTAGGCCTTTCATGAGAACCTTTATTTGAACGGCTATGACTAACGCTGTGCTTTCGCGCGAATGCAACCGAGTGAAATAACATCGACGTCACTCTCTTCTTCCTTTTCTTCCATCTTTTTCTTTTTTTTTTTGTTATTTCTTCCCTTCGCCCATAAAAACGATGCAACGAAGTAACAATGCTAATGCCCTCTTTTACGCGACGCGACGCGCGCGAGGGTAACGTTTATTCAAAAACGTAGGCATTACGATTTTTGTAATTCTCGACGTGACATTGCAACGAACGAACAATCGACCTCCATTTTATTTTTACGTTTGCCTCCTTTATTCGTGAAAACAGCCGGCCTCGTCGCGTCGTTCGCTTTATTGCGCGCCGGGGCAGTAAAACTAAGGAGGGCTAGCGAAAGTGACGAGCATTTGATACGAGTTCGGTTTCGAGGCCAAAATGGCCGGTCCGTCACGAGAGAAGACCAAGAGCGTATCGATAAGCGGACGCGCGCGCGAGACAGTGCGAACTCGCGCGCTTTTAAAGCCCGGGCTGTGGCGCGCCGAGCGAACGCGCGCCGACCCCTTCCCACACGGACATTTACGATCTAAACGCTTTAGAGAGGAGGCAGACGAGATTGGATGCAATCTCGCGCATCCCGGACTACCTCGTTTGTGATCCTTAACTTCTCCTTATCGCCTTTGCGTTGCTGCTACCGGCGCTGTTGCGCCATCCCCCCTTTTTTCTTTTAGC